TTCTCTGAGGCCGTTTGGTCTGGCGGTGTTTGGTCTGACGGTGTTTGTTCTGACGTTCAGTTTCACCAGATCTGAGTCATGACGATGGTTTTTCTCGAGACTCGGAGTCGTTTAGCTTGAGGAATGACTTCGTTCTGACTCGGAGGTCTGAGGATGTCCTAAAATGTACCCCGTAGCCCCACCTAGTGCTAATTAACATATATTTGCATGTTGGTCAGTTTGAAAACGAAAATGAAAAGTGGAAAATGTAAAGTAAATGTCCAGCAGGTGGCGCTGATGTTCGTTTGCATTTGCCTTTTCATTCTGACACCTAAAGCGCGTCCACACCGAAAAACTGAATCACAAACTGTCCCTTTGCTGTTGATTTATCAGTTTTGCATTTTCATTTTGTCAGATATGCAGCCGATTGAAAAAGAAATAACAATGTAAACACTGCATTTTGGTTTTAGTTTTGACACGTATTCTACATTTCATGGAGAAAAGCCAAAACCAAAGTGAAGCTTGGATTTTCTTTTCTCTATTAGCTTTTCATTTTAGATTTGGCCATGAAAAACCAGAATAATGACTAAAATAAAATGACAAATAGATGTTTTACATTTATTTTTATTTTTGTCACAAATGGCGCATGCTCATGTGAAAAATGAAATTGCAAATATAGGTATTTCATTTCATTTTCAATTTTGGCAGGATATTTGCACAGATGTTTGGAAAAAGAAATGGCAAAAAGAGGTTTGCATCTACATTTTATGGTTTTAATTTTAATTTCTTTTTTGGCTGGATTTGCCTCCCATATAATGAGAGCCAGCTGGTGCTGATCTGGCTGGCAGCGTGAGCGCCTTTTAAAAGAGCTGAGAGGGAACAGAGCGAGAGAGAGAGCGACAAGCAGCAGCAGCAAGAGACGGAAGAGCTGAAAGCTCGAGTAAGAGACTGAAAAGTCTAGCTGACTGAAGCCACTGAAAAGTGGCCAGCATAGTGTAGGTTTGAGTTTGTGTTTATTTGTGTGGCTGAAATAAAACATGGCTGCTGCAGCACTGAACCCTGCCTCCAGCGTCCTCCTTGAGCCCGGGGTAGCACATGCCGTGCTACAGTGACAGTTAACAATTTGAAATACTGGTGGAGCAGCAACACACACTGAATGGCTTATTAAAACGGTAGTAAGTGGAGTTGATGAATGACTCCTTCGCTGATGTGTCTGTTCCTCAAGAAGAAATTCAAGTAAATGTCTGTAAGAGAGTCAGGCTCAATCTGCACGTAGCCCATACCCAGATTTCATCACGACCCACTGAATGCAAGCAGACATTTTCTCAGGGTTGCTTTATCTGAAAGAACCCCAAATGTCAGAACAGACACCTACGCAGACGTCCTGGGGGAACGTTCAAGCTTTAGACAGTTTTGTTGCACAGAAACACGGCTGAGTGCCAGACTTCATTCAAAGCTGTTGTGAAATGCTCTGACACTGCAAAGAGGAATTGCGCTCCAATAACAAACATCAGCTTTGTTCCGTTCCGTGGAGAAATCTTGCTTTGTCACCACTTCTCCATACCGTTCCCACTGTTCCTCTCCCACTGCCAGCTGCATGCAGTGATCCGGGAGGGCAGCAGCCAAACCCATCCATATTTCATGTGGTTTGGCCCAGGGTGTGATGTTCAAGCACATCCTGTCAATTCGGGCTTATTCATCCTCTCAGGTCCATCATCTGTCAAAAGCATGGTGGGGCGGGACAGGAGTCTTTAATAAAGTAACACCGAGGCTAATGAAGGAAGAGAGAAAAAGGCAAACCACAGTTTCCCCCCTTCAGAATCCAACGCTCGACTGAGAGCATGAGGTGTCTTGTCTTTGGACCTACAGGGAACAACTCTATTCCATTAGGGCTTCTGTAAGACTGCCAATGTTTGGTACTTGCTAGGAAGCCACATGGCAGTGGAGCTTAAACATTCTTCCAATTCATCATCCAGAGCTAGGAGAGCTGTTTCATGACGAAGCTTGATTTGACGGGTAAAAATAGCAGGGAAGTTCTTGTCAGGAATTTTGTGGTCCATGCCATTCAATTGGGCAATTTACTCGATGAAATGTTTGACATATGAAATAGATGTTTTCACTAAATGAATTTTTACAAACACGGTACACGGAACTCCTGTTATGGTAACATTGTGAAAGAATAGCAGCAACTTTGTCACGTAGCCACCGTTTCTCCATATTCCAGCATAGTGTTTTTGTATTCAGCAGTAACACACAGGACTTCTGTGCTGTTATAAAAAAGTGAATGTTAGGTTTTTCTTGTGGCAACAATCAACAACAAAAACTCAGCTATCATAACATTTTTAGAGATTTGGGATTTGTTCTCAGAAGTAAGAGACCACTCTTCTGTCAAACTGGACATTAAGTTCAAATTATTCGTAATCCACATCCATAAAAAAGGAAAATAAGAGAAAAACAAACAGGAGTTCAAAAAAATATTAAAAGACACAGAGAAAATGGGATGCCTAACAACCTGCAAGACCTGGCAGACCATTTGATCTGTCACAATCAGATAAATAGTACTTAAAGCTTTGGATTGTGAGAAGCAGAAAATGTAGCCAACTTCTAAGACTGAACTTTGGAGGTGTAAAAAATATCCCTTTGAAAAGCAGTATGTCTTGTTTCTTGAAGGCAAGTTTCCCAAAAGGAATAGAAGATGTAATAAAAGAAAGGAGTGGACAGACACACACACACACACACACACACACACACACACCTTCTAAGCCACTTATCCTTCTGGGTCGCGGAGGGAGCTGGAGCCTATCCCAGCAGTCATTGGGTGGAAGGCAGGAAACACCCTGGACAAGTCACCAGTCCATCGTAGGCCACTGTAGTTCTTTACATTGTGTGCAAATTTCATGATAAATGGACCAAAAGAAATGGCCAAAAATGACTTGGAAAAAAGTCTGGTTCCACTGACATACATTAAAAGTGAAGTCTGTTTTTCCTTCTCCTGTTAAATTACCATTTTGGAGATACAAGGTTTTGTTCCGACAGCAGCGATATGTTGAGGCTACTGGGTAAATTTCTTGTCATTTTTTTTGTACTTAATGCCTAGTTTTACTTGTACTTAAAGGGTGTTTTAACTGGAAATAAAAATAAAAAAACGAGAGGTGGTCTCTGACTTATGCACAGTACTATAAGAACAAATCCCCAAAACGCCTCTGAAAATCTTATTATCATGGCTTAGTTTGTTTGTTAGTTGATAACCAACACACTTGATTGCTGGTTGTTGCTGCAAGCCTAAGCTACCATTCACTTCGCCTTGGTTTCACTTTGCCCTGTATTTTACATTACAACCTTTATTTCACACAGCAGGGACTCAAAAGGTATTTGAGGTGACTGAGGCTAAGAATGCTGAGCAGCTAAGACAGCTGCGTCCACTGCGTTTGGAATGGCTCCCGTTGGGCTGCAACTCCCTCTCTGTGTTTTATCTGTCTCTATATGATCCATAGCTTCATATATCTCTCTTCCTTTGAACATTTCTTGGTTTTCAGGTCAAAAACACAATGTTGACAGCTTTATCCAAAAGAGGTTCTTTTAAAGACATGGTTTTGTCATAAATGCACTGAATGGCTACTGACTGGCCACTAAATCACTGGTAAAACATTAAAAGTTAGAGCCATTGATCACGTAGTGTGGTAAAGGATGGGTGTGAGACAGTGAAAATGAGTGTGAGACAGTGAGCAGCTGTCAGATCTTTTGTTATTCACTCAATATGTTTAACCAGACTTCCTATTGTGGTATCTGTCCACAGATGAAATGCAGCCGTATGCAAACGTTTGGGTGCAATCAAGTTGACAGTTGATTTTTTAAGTGACAATAAGTGAACACATCCTCTACAGAGAACACACTTCTGCACAATTACTGTTTATTTACTGAATTTAACATATTGGAAAAATAAAACATAAAATGTGGCCTGTGCAAAAGTAATGGCACATTTTGAATTTTATGTTTTATTTTTTCCAAATTGTTAAACTCAGCAAATAAAATAGAAATTGTGCACTAACATGCAGAAAATGCCATATGACTGTATATGTAAAAAAGCCTCTCTTTTTGTTTTTAACTGAATACACACACCATGTGTATATGTAGCTCTATATGTTAACATACTTCGTTTGTCTGTTTGTGTTGTGCTGTGTTCTGGGTCTACTACAACTCTGTAGATTACTCATGCTGTAAAATTTCTCTCGGTCTTATGACCTTAACCAATGAACACCTTCTTAAACATACTTTTAATTCAAGTAGTTATGAATAGAATTGCTGTAAACATGTAGCTCTGCCAAGCTGCTTAATAAAGGATATATATATATATATATCATGTGTAATGCTATTGCTTTGTTTAAAGAGCCCATTTCATTGAAAACACAGAAAAGAGTCTGATGCAGAATGTAGCCAGCCCATGCAGTCCACATATGGAAACTAAGCCCGAAAAAATAGCTTGTTTTGAATTCACAGTTTTGAACTGACAGTGTGATGTCATGAAAATCAACACATTTACAAATATCCACCTATTCAGCCACCAGCAGGTTAGCTTTGCCCATTCACGCTTAAGTTATAAGGAGTGTTTCAGCCCAGACTGCTTTTTAAACCAGTCACGATACAGGGCAGCCAATCAGAATATAGCTCATTTAAATATATCCACCAATAAAAAACAGCCGGTTTAATACTAAGGGATAAAGAGTTGTTGGAAAATGGTCATGTAAAAAAAGAATTAGGACTGTTTATGGTACATAAAACCACACAAATGAGTAACCTCAGGGAAAGAAATAAATACCAGAAAAATGTAAGATATGGGCCTTTTAAATAATTACTGTTATTATGGTTGCAATAAATAATAATAATATAATAATAATAAACCATTAAATTAATGAACTATTTTATTAATTTGACATATTAAATGTTTCTATTTTTACAGTCATTTGTCTTTTATCATAGCTTATTAAATAAAAGAGAATCATTGACATTAAGTGATAGAGGCCTCAGTTGCATTAGAAAATATATTTGTAGTGCTGAACTTTGATTAAAACACCATTTTTTTTACATTCTGTAAAACATAGAAGACAGATTCTCCACGGGGGCTACTTACTACAGGTAGGGGGCAGTATGCCCCTTTTCAAGGTTTTTTTTTTTTTGTGCTATAAAAACAAAACTGCATCATCATCATCATCATGTAAATGCTAAACCCATGTACAGACCTGATTTAGTGTGACAGTAAATGGATGCTGTTATTAAGGGGAGCATTTCCCCCATTTTCCTTTATATGGTCCCTTTCACACACTCACGCTTTTTATGCAGGAGCCTGATGACTACTGTACATTTGCCCAGCCTTGATACACTGAATGCACATACAGTACCTTACAGGGATCTTTTGAAGAAGTTCAAAAACAGAAGAGCCACAACAGTTGACTAAAGAAGACGACCGACACCCAAAAACATGTCTTTTTGAATATGATTGTCAAACAAGGAATTTTGGTCACAAAGACAATTGTGGAACTTATTTGCAGTTCCCTTATTTGCAGCATGAAACAGTAAAAAATAATTACAATCTTGTGACAAAATTTAAGTCTTTACAAATGTGGTTTACAAAATGAGATCCGACATTTATTTCAGCAGTAATCTTCCCTATCGAACAGCTTCGAAAAGTGACTTAAATAATACAGTACAAAAATAGACAGGTTCATTGTGAAGTAACAGTGGCACTGCACTTTTAGAAAAAACAATAATGCAAAAAACATCGACAGGTCCTGTATACAGCTCGCAGCTGAGTAAAAAACAAAGATACATTCACTGGCTCTATATCTCTTAATGTATGAAGGCACTGTTGAATTTATACAGCGTCGGAGGCTCACGCCAACCCCGCGTCTTTAGCCATACCGTAGAATATTCCTTTCTGCGCGATAAGGTTCACTGGTGTGTCGAATTCTGCTACCTGTCCCTTGTCCAACACAAGAACTCTGTGAACAAGAAGAGAGCAGGTGATTAAAAATATGAATGAAATGAGTTAAAAATTATCACGTTTCCAAACAACCTGAAACAAAATGCAGGCCTACTTACACCAGTATATTATGAATAAATAACAGCTGTGATTAAAGGTGAGAGAGACCTACTCTGTGCTGTACCTTAAAATATAATTTTCATTTTAATATTTTCAAAGATGTGAATAAACAAGAGTTATCCCAGGTCAAGATACAGGAGTATTTACAGGAGTATACAACGCTGTGCAGAAGTCAGAGACCACTCTGCGTTTGCTGAAAGCTATTCATTTTTCAGACAAAAAACAGAAAACTCAAATTTAACATAAAAAATATTACACAGAAGCAACTACACAGAGTATCATTTTTCCAGTATTTAGTGTTTCCACTTTTTGCCCTAGCAGCTTCCATTCTTGCTTTTAGTTTTTCAAAGAAATCTGCAGGAATATGTTTCCACATCTCCAAAGTTCAGTCTTAGAAGTTGGTTGCAATTTCTGCTTCTCAAGATCCAAATAATCCCAAACACATTCAATATTGTTGAGCTCTCTCTGGGGTGGTCAATTCATTGTTCCGAGAACACCAGCAGCTTCTTTGTTTGATTTACAAATGTTCTTCCTTCTTGTCTATTTCCTTTTCTCAGTAATGGCTTCTTGACAGCTACAGTGCTGTGAAGAAGTATTTGCTCCCTTCCCAATTTCCTCCATTTTTGCACACTTGGAACACTTGAATGTTTGAGATCATCAAACTACTTTTAATAATAGACAAAGACAATCCCAAGTACACAAAATGCTGTTTTTAAATGATGATTCATTTATTAAAGAAAAAATCAACCAGTTAGCCAAATTCAACTGACTATTGGGTGCAATTTTACTGGCCACTCCCAGGCATGATTACTGCCAGACCTGTTGAATCTAAACATCACTTAAATAGAACCTGTCTGGCAATGTGAAGCAGCTAGAAGGTCTCAAAACCACTGTGTACCACAGTGAGAGCAATTATCCACAAATGGAGCAAACTGAACAGAACAGTGGTGAACCTTCCCAGGAGTGGCTGGTCTACCAAAATTCACCAGGAGTGAACTGATGACTAATCCAGGACGTCTCAAAAGAACCCAGACAAACATCTAAAGAATTGCAGACTTCGCTTGCCTTAGTTATGGTCAATTTTCATGATTACACAAAAAGAAAGACACTGGGCAAAGACGGCAACCATTTGCAAGGTGCAAACCACTGCTGACCAAAACGAACACAAAGGCGCATTCTACACATTCTACCATAAGAACATCATACCAACAGTCAAACATGGTGGTGGTAGTATGATGGTCTGGGGCTGCTTTGCTTCTGCAGGACCTGGACAACTTGTCATAACTAATGGAACCATGTATTCTGCTCTCTGTTAGAAAATCCAGAAATTTGCGACTTAAAGCTCAAACGCAGTTGGGTTATACAGCAGGACAATGATCTGAAGCACCTCTGAATGGCTCAGAAGAAACAAAATTAAGGTTTTGGAATGGCCAGGTCAAAGTCCTGACTTCAGTCCGATTGAGATGCTGGGGTAAGACCTTAAACAGGCAGTTCATGCTCGAAAACTTTCTGATTTAACCAAATTAAAACAATTCTGCAAAAAAGATTGGGTCAAAATTCCTCCACAGTTATGTAAAAGACTCATTGCAAGTTTTTGCAAACGTTTGACTGCGCTTGTTACTGCCAAGGGTGGCACAACCAGTTACTGGGTTTAGAGGGGCAATTACTTTTTCACATGGGTGATATAAGCTTTGAATAATTTTTATCTTCAATAAATGGAATGCTTCCTTTAAAAGCTGCACTTTGTGTTTATTCGGGTTGTCTTTATCTTGTATTAAAATTAGTTGGTTGATCTGAAACATCTAAATGTGACAAATTAGCAAAAATAGGAGAAATTGGGTGAGGGACAAATATTTTTCACAGGACTGTCATATCCTTTCACAGTCATTCAAGCACAGTTTTGGAAACTTAGTTTCTTTTGCCTTTCCCCTTCCTTATGCAAGTCTTATCCTTTGAAATATGTTCTAAAAAATAAATAACTAATAATTATCTAATATCTAATAATTATATATATAGTTATGGTTCTAAGACTGACTGGCTGAACAACATTCAAAGCCAATGCAAAATACTCCACACACATTAGGGGTGGGGGGAAAAATCGGTTCTTAGATGCATCGCGATGCGGGCGTAGACAATTCTGAATCGATTCACAAATGTCAAAAATCGACAATTTCTAAATTTTAATTGATAACGTAATGTTGACAGAACACAAAAGGCGGAACGTTACAAAGTGCGGATATGCAGCGCCCGGACAGTCTGTGGTGGCACACAACATTAAAAGCTAGGTCAGGGGTCGCAACCCAAATGTTAAAAAGAGTCATTTTGTCCTTTCAGTAAAAATCTAAACACCTTGGTGGCCACAACATTTTGAGTCCATTTTACCATCTTGGCTGTACGTGTCTCAGTATGTGCTAATGTCCTAGTGTAGTCTAAAAATATAATACAAACAAAAACGCAGACTTACTTTGCTCTCCTTTAAGCTTTAGTTCAGCTGTAACCGTTTTTCTTGCATCACCAGCGGGAAACTTTTCTACACAAGTAGAACAGTTTCTTGTAAAATGTCTCTCAGTGTTCTACTTTTTACGAGGCTGAAGTCACTTCTCGATCTCCAGCTTCTCGTTCGAATTTTCCAGTTCCAGATTTTTTTTCCAGATTAAACATATCAGGAAACTAGCTAGAGTGATTATAAATGCAAATAAGTCTATTCATCTCCAAATTATCGATGTTTGTCTTAAATCTTTCTCTTGCTTTTTCGTTAGCTACTAGCTAGGTGAACTAGCAGTTACAGGCTACATTAATTCCAGCATTTAAGACCATGTACTGTTAAAGCTGTGTTTGAACGATCAGCAGAGCTTTATTTTACTGCAAAGGAGGATTATTTTATTTTTACATAGAAATCTAACTCTGATGTGGAGCCGCATGTCGCCGAACCCCTGAGCTAGCATATGGAAGCACTTTAGCTCCTATGAAGTTGAGGGGGAAACCATATTACATGTTTCCACCCATTTTCTGCCCGGTTGTAGTTGCTGCCAACCAGAGGACCATCGAGCAAGCAATGTCAAAACTTCCACCCAACTCGAAAAGGGCGAAGCGAACTACAAACTCAATCGCAACTTTTATCGCCAAGGATTTGCGTCTGTACTCAGTCTTTGAGAACCAGGGCTTTCGTGTAATATTGCACACTTTGGAGCCAAGATACAGCGACCCATCTCAAAGATATTTTACTGACACAGCGACCCCCCCACTCTCTACAACGGGACCAAAACTGAAGTTATAAAATTGCTGAAGAAAACGGGTAGAATAGCTGTAACGTGATGCGTGGACTTCCATTGCCACAGAGTCTTGGGTCACCATGACTGCACTTTATCACAGATGAGTGGCAGCAGCGTCTCATGTGCTCCAAACAAGAGCAGTGAATGAGAGCCTTCCAGTTCACTTGGCACATCGCTTCTGTTTGATTTATTAATAAAAGATATTGGAAGTAAATTCATTATGGATCATTACAATACTTTGCTTTAAAAGCACCAGGTCTTCACAGAGTGAGAAAAAAAGAAATCCTGTATAGAAAAAAAAGATGCATCAAGATGCATCAATAATCGTTTTATAATCACATCGCAGCCCTCTGAATCGTAATCGAATCATGAGGTGCCTAGAGATTCCCACCCCTAACACATATCAATAGAATTTTGGTACAATGCATTAGGTACTAAAACCATTAAATACCATTGCAAATAGTCTGCTGTTACCAAACTACATTGCTTGGTGGAAGAACTGTTTATTATGAATATTGTAATTATTAAATAATTTTTCATAATTGATGTATTTTATCATGTATGTTGCTTAACAACACCACTTAACCCCTTAAATCACTTTAACACTCTGCTTTTCACTGTTTATTCTTTCATTATTATAAATGGTAATCTTTCTGTACCTTGTGTAGTCCATGATGGTGTTGAGTCGGTGAGCTATGGTGAAGACTGTGCAGTCCTCAAACTGTGTGCGGATGGTCGACTGGATGAGATCATCCGTCTCCAGGTCGATAGCTGCTGTGGCTTCATCAAGGATCAGAATTCTGGTCTTCCTCAGCAAGGCTCGAGCTAAACAGACGAGCTGTCTCTGTCCCACACTGTACAGACACATAAAACGGTGAGCTCTAAAGTACTAAAACAGAAAAACTAATTGGAAATTGTACATTGGAGATGTGATACATAGTTTTTGTACACCTTAGATTTTCTCCTCCTTCCGAGCATTCCAAGTTGAGTTTAGCTGGCTGGTTGCTGACAAACTTATGTAGGTGAGATAATGTCAGAGCATTCCAAACGTCATCGTCACTGTATTTCTCAAAGGGGTCAAGGTTCATCCGCAAAGTCCCAGAGAACAGAACCGGTTCCTGTAAAAAGCAGATATTACAGATCACATTTACATTATATATGTACAATGCCAACAAATACAGTAAGCAGTAAGGACAGATGTATAGCTTTGGACTCATGCTGACACTACCTCCACTCTGCTACAAACATGACATGGTCTACACAAACGCACTTACACACACACAGGAATGTGCACACAAGCACAGATATACAACGTATATCAGCACAAGTGTATTATGTGTGTGAGAAACCCCATTTGGAAAATTTCAGAGCGGAGCGGAAGGCTTGTCCTTGTTTATACTGACCTCCAGACAGTCATTTTAAAAGACCCTCTCCTACACCACATAACTCTGCCCCTAGCTCCATCTGCTTGGTAAAGAAAACATTGCAGAATCAGGTTAGTGGCCTGCGCTGGCAAGTTTTAGTAGTGTGGGAAAAAACACACTGCGCTGCCAAAAAACGCTCCTCCTGGATAGGTATGTAAACGCGATACATATAAAGAGTTGAACTGTTTGAATGGCCAGCTTGAGTAGCATCAAGTAGATAAATATCACTCAAAGAGCCTGGTAAAGTAATGCTGTGGATTAACCATCTTCATAGAGATTTATGCAATCCTAGTCAACTGCATCAAGCTTCTACGTAGATAACAAAGCTAACCAGACAAAGCTGAATTTGACTTCTTATTCAAACATTCTGTTCTACCTTAAATGCTACTATAAATACAATATTTGCCTGGCAGTCACAGTTCACTGAAAAACTTGTGGGAACTCATTACAAAGAAAAACAGGACATCAAAGACACTCTTGACTATCCTTGCAGTTGCACATCGGTATAAATCGAATGCCAAGCGATCACAGCCTTGTAACTTTGCAACCCCGCCACTCCCTTCCCCCAACTCGAAAAAGCATGATTAGATGAAAAGTCTCTGAAAATGTGAAACTGTGACAAAGTGCAGTCACTGGGGTAATTCCATTCCCAGTTAGTAGGGTAGCCCAGTCACAGTGTTGACCTCAAGCTTGCTGTTTGCAGAGGCAGAAGAATAAAGATTTAGAGGGAAAATTGAGTTTGAGGCATGTTTGTGCGCATCAATATCTGTAATGTTTTTGTATTTTATGTACTTTTTATATATTTGTACCTTACCTTCATCTTTTCGTGGAAAAAGCATTTATGGAGATGTTCACAGATGTATTTATAACTGCTGATGTGTTTATAACTTTCTTTTTCCATTTGTAGAAGGGTTTTTCCACTGGATTTGGCCTGGATGCATTTCTATATTTCTAAATCTTCATGCTCTTATTCAATGTTATTAGCATCTTGTGAAATTGTTTGAGTTGTGAAAAGAACCACACTCAATGTGCTCTATTGAGATGTAGGCTGTATCTTCTTTCAAGTAGCATTAACATAATGCCATTCTTTTATCATTTACATTTAAACTTTGAAAAAAAAGGCAGTGGCCATAATAAACAGCCTACCTCACCACTAGAAAGGGAAGTCATGGCAATGTCTGGTAATGCTGGCAAACTCTAATTAAACTTGACACTGGTTACTGTCAATTCCACAGGTGTGCTTCAGGGTGATGGCCGGGAATAGGTGGCAGAGTCAAAGAGTAACAAAAATAGATCCAACTTTGTTGTAGTTCATCTATTTGACTGCTAGAGTAACTGTGTATCTTCAATTTTGCACCTTTAAACCTTCACTTTATTCCTTAAAATGAACTGATCCCTTGAATTTACAACAAAAAAATCACTGACTGAATTTGTGACAAACTGAAGTTGTTTTGAGTTGTTTTTCAATAACCCTAAAAACATTGTGTATTATTACTGAGATGCTTCTGCTCACCAAAACCAACATTCAATGTAATGGACAAATACAAATACATAAAAAAACTATTTTCATTTATGACTGCACTTAAATTAGGAATAGAGACAACATTTTCTGTGTCCCTGGAACATAATTTGGAAAGGGTTCATTGTGTGCATCCTCACACTATTCCTGATCTTCACAGCTCTGTTCATTTTTCTATAAATTAAATGCAATAATTTTCCATTGTTGTCCTTCAAGCTTCTAGGAAGTTTACACAGGAAGAAATATACAGAATATATAAGCAAAAACGCCATTCACTCACTGGGAAATGTATTGAGAATATGTAGCCATATTTATAATAGTCCAGCTACACTGTCACATAACTAGAGTTCACAGTACAATGTAACTTTTGTAGCTTGTCCATTCACATCCCTTGTTTTCTTATTGATTTCAATGCTAAGATCAGCTATGAGGGGCAAATGAGGCCAAATCACATTTCCTCAATGTTAGAAGTGAATTAGCAGAAAGAAAAGAAAATGTGTTAAAAGTGAATTAGGGTCACAGTCAAGAACAGGAATTTCTGGAGAAAACAAAAGACGAATGAAAAATGTTAACAATCTGGATGCGAGCTCACAACAAATTAACCACAGTTGTGTTTGGAATCAAGCAAGCTAATTAGCCACTGAAGAACAAGCTGTTTCATGCTGTTTTGTGGGCGTAAAGATGCTTTGGCCTCCTTTACTCCTTAAAAAAAGAACACTTACTACCATGAAATACTTTATGGCACTGAATGTGAATTCTCATTTTTTGCTTACACAGTAAACCCCATGAGAGAAATATTAATATGCCGAGATGTGCTTAAATTAAAACAGATTGCATAGCAAACGTAAAAATGAGAAAGGGAAAGCACCGCAGACCTGAGGGATGATGGTGAGTTTGGATCTCAGGTCGTGAAGGCCGATCTCTTCGATTTTCACTGCGTCAATGGTGATCTCCCCTCCTGCAGCCTCCAGAAGACGGAACAGGCAAAGGGTCATGGAGGACTTTCCTGCACCGGTCCTACCCACGATGCCAATCTGCAGACCAACACAGGTTACTTTGAGATTACGAGTGGGAGGTATGCCAATATAAAAGTGAATATCAGTATCAGTAAATTTGTCCCTTAATTTAAATTTTAGCATGGCTGAGGGAACAACAGGGTTGAGCTGACATTTGACCCAGCACTCTCCCAGCACAAGTGTTGCTAAGGGTGGAATCAACAGCAGCCTTCTTAACTAGCAGAAAACAGCACGTGCATGAACGCAAATAAGCTACCAGAGTGAGACAGAGCATTTACATATAGAAATGAAAGTTATTTTTAGCATCTGTAGCAATAGCAGTAGTAGAACTAGCATATATAAATAGCATCTTATAATACCATAACATAGTGTTGTAGTCAAGACCGAGACTTGGACGCACCAGACTAAGATTTTTTTCAAAATATTAAAATAAAAAGAAGGAACAAAAATTGAAATTAGGTTGTAGTTCATTTTTCATTCATAATTATTCATTATACATGATATGTATAAATTGTACATTATATATTTTGTAAAACGGACCCAGAAGGATAAGCGGTTTAGATGATGTATGTATGTATGTAGGTAATTAATATATAGCCTATAATAATAATAATAATAATAATAATAATAATAGTTTCATTATTATTATTATTATTATTATTATTATTATTATTATTATCTCTTAATCCAACTTTGCATTGTAAGTTTTAGAAGTAAATGATGGTGGTTATTCTCTGTCTCTTCTTCTCTAAAATTTATTCAGAAGCACCATTAAAGTCAACTGAATAAAAACAGTAATAACATTCTGATCTGGGGTGTCTGAATTTTGGAACCAGTAAACACCAACACACAAATATTACCCAGTTTAGCCATCATTAAAAAGGACTGATTAGATCCTCAACTGGCAGCAAACATATTTTATTTAAACATGTAGAGAACAGACTGTCTGAAGGTTTTGTTGATATTCAATAACGAAAAAAGTTCAGTTTCAGTTACCTCAGACGGAGGCACTGCACTCGGCTGGTCTCAAGAACCATCCTAACCCGAGACTAAGACAAGACTCCAAATGACGTCAAAAACGATATAGAAGGGTGAAGGCTAGCACGAGCTTCCTTCTCCAGCCAACATGTCTTTTCAAGTTGCTGCTAACACATGTCAGTGGATGCTTCAGTAGCACATCAGAAACCGTACACTGCAACTGCAATGGCTCAAATCATTGCTGATGGTCCTCCTCACCTTCTCTCCCCCTTTGACCTTAAGGGAAATGTTTCTCAGCACCAGGTCCAGTCCCTCTCGATACCTCACACTGTAGTCCACAAACTCCACGTTGCCCTCTGAAGGCCAGTCACCAGGGGGCTTCTTATCCTCCACTTCCCATGGTGCCTGCACACATGCATTAGGAATACCTCAGACCAGTGTAGTGTTAGAGTGACCACCATAACACCAAGGGCTTCATTTCTAAATTATTTGTAAGAGTGGATTCTTCAAATGAGTGTACATTTATCAATTAACTTTCTATGTGCTTATTAAGGACAAGTTAAAAAGCTATAAAAAGACTCATTTTATTCACTACTAATCAATTGTGGAGTTTACCCTTCTTGAGGACATGGCATGCCAAGCTATGTGGAGAAAATGCATTCAGGCCAAGTCCCTAGAACATGATTTATTTTGTGTTCCTAGAACCCTTTTAATATATCTATACTAAAACAATAACTGTGTGTATTTATGTTTTTTGTTATCTAAAAATATTAAAAAATGAACCTATTTATTAAGCCTGTTCGACATGTTAGAAGTCTGGATAAAAGAAACAGTATTATACCTGTTTCTGACATTTGGAACATTTATTGCTTTAAACATATGCAAATCAGTTGAAAGACTAAGCTGAAAACTGACTCTTTTGTGTGATATATTTGTGATTGGTGAACAACTCGGTCGCACATCTAAGCTGTGTGCGTTGATTCAAGTGTACAGTTCTTTTTTTAAGTTTGTACACAAATCTAAAACAACAAATTTAGTATAAAATGTATTTAAATATATTTTAAACACGCGGCCCAAGCCCCAACTGCAAAACTACTTCATGTAAAAACTGCAATGAAACTACAATATTGCCACAAATTACTAATTTCAAAATTGCATTTGTAGGTGAAAAGATTTATACTCATTTGTTTGTGTTTGGTAACTATTTCTATTGATCTACACTAGTTCATCTGCTGTACCTCAGGTGGCGTCTCTGAATACTCCTTCACTCTTTCCACGGCCACGATGTTGCTCTCAAGGTCAGAGGTCATTCTCACCATCCAGTTCAGGGACATGGTGACCTGCCCAACAAGGAAAAGGTGAGTCAGCTGTTATGCTTCCATCCAGTGTCATTTGAAAAAGATCTTAGTGAATTAATTCTTCAGCACATGCAGAACGAAGGAGCATAAGCTATATCACAGAATAAATTATGTGAAATATAAAAAAAAAAATTTGTTTTTCACAAAGTGAATTTTGCTGAGCGAACCGTGATTTCATTCTTCCTTTTTCCATTTTATTTTGGAAGACTGCTTCAACTCAGATATTAACATTTAGCAACTCAATTTACTATTAAGTCAGAACAGTCTAGCTGACATGCAATTCACCATCAGGTTCAGATGTCATCACAACTAGAACTGTGACAAATGTATTTAAACAATGTGGTAAATATGTTTATGATCATTTCATCAGATTTTAATCTAGCTGTTGTATACATTACTAAGACTAAGCTGTCATTATTTTATTTCAATGTTTGACAAGCAGAGAACTGGTTCAAGTCACACAAAAATGAAGCAAAAGTAGCATGAATGAGAACTCTTCATAGTGACATTTGTCAGCTTTGTCAGCTGTGTCAGACACTGAATGGACAGCATAAAATTACAAAATTACAAAGCAGTCAAGAGCCAAAAAAATTATCCTTCTCTCTTTCTTTGCAGAAGCTAATACAATGTGTTAAAAACATGATTTATACAACATGTGTATCAATCAATTGAATCAATTCCATATAAATCAAAGTTCATTGTATATATGTATATCAGTGTCCAGTAAATATATATTTACATATATAACATTTAGGAATGCAAAAAAAAACTGCCTACTCATATAAAGAGTAGCTGCCTATGGAGGTTTTTATTTAATATATTTTTTTTTTTGCTTAGTTTTCTTAAATATTTACATGCAACATTGTTTATCTGAGTAATCTTTAATATGGTAAATTACTGCAAACTGACACACTCATCTGCATAAAAACATTTTGAAAACTGACCCAAAACTCACTGAGCAATTTGTTAAGAACACACACACACACACACACACACACACACACACACACACACACATACATATATATATATATATATATATATATATATATGTAACATTGCATTAATATTTGTTTTTATTTATTCAAATGTTACGTACCTGGAGGGCATAAGACACAGAGAGCCCGACCAGACTCGGGTTCAGCGACTCTTTCCCGATCACGGCGAACAGAGCAGCAAACAGAACAATACAATTTCCAATAAACTCAATCCGGACCCCCAACCACCTGAATTCAGCAAAACACAACATTGTCACAGCTCCAAATAACACAATGGCTTTCATCAGTTTTACGCCTTCATATCAGTGTTGGAGTAAACAAAGGCCATTTGTGGTCTTGATTAAGACCTTACTGCAGTGTCTTTTCTTTTTTTTGGCATGAAATACAAGTAAAGAGAACATGTGGAGAGTCTGAGGCCTAACATCTGCAGACAATCATGCATCCAAGAGGGAGTGAGGCCAGACCTACCTGTTGGAAACAATACCAGGGTAGTAACTCTTTTGGTTTTCATCCACTTTCATATCACTCATGAGTACAAAGGCACTGTTGCGCCCGTAAGCGCGGATCACACTAGTGCCAGTGATGGTCTCCGAAAAATGAGAGTATATGGGGGACCTACTGACCGACTCCAGTCTCTTTAGCTGCCGTGAAGTGGCTACATAAAATCTCTACAGAGGAAATCAGGGGAAGAAAGACAAACATGCCATTAAACTGCTATGACTAAAAAAGTGCAGAAAAGACATATACACAACACAGTACAGGCTAGTGAAGACTCTAAAACCACTGGCAGACTAAGTCAGACATTTAAAATCATTATCCATATTTCAAATAATCTAAATCAAATTCAGTTCTTTGGAATTTTTGGGGCCTTCTTAGTAAAAAAAATATAAAATGAATAATATCTGTGATATCTGTAACAAATTTAGTGAGTTGCCCCGAGTTGTATTACGATGGCCATCAAACAGATACACTCTTAAAAACAAAGGTTTCCTAAATGGTTTTCAGCTCGGATGGTTCTAGGAAAAACCTTTAATTGGTTTAGAACCTTTACATTATGTGGAAGTTCTTTAAAATTTAAAAAGTACACACACTCGCATATCCCATTGATAAACCATCAATTTAAATGTTCTTTAGGGAACCAAAAGTGGCTCATCTATGGTAACACTCCAAACAGGGACTGATTACTGACTGGGCTAGAGAGGCCAATGTCCAGAGGTCTCTGACTGCCAGGGACTTTGGGGGACCTCAGACTACAGGATGGCTCAAAGACTTTGAGCAATCCACTGTAGATACAAAATAGCCCTTGAAGGTGTACAAAAGACTGTATAAAAGAAACAAATGAAGAAATGTTATCTGTCCTCACTACATCCACTAATGCTGTCCTTTTTGTAAGTTTTTATTTTTAATGAGTCTGGGGGTGTTGTTTTTGTGATTGCAATGGGATACTTTAAATGATTTTGCAAAATTTGTTTGTCTTTGGATAAAAATCACAAAACATAATGATGTGGACACGACAGACTGATACATAGCAATGAGGTTTTTGTTTATTTTCTTATTTCTTTTTTTGTTTTTAAAATTTCTGTATTTTTAGGTATATTTTACAGATGCTTTGTTGTAGTAGTGTGTGGGGGCCTCTAAAAAGGCTTGTGCCTAGAGGCCTCATGAGACTATGATCCGTCCTTTATTTTTAAGAGTGTAATTAATCCCATAATTCAAGTGTTGTGGGTTTGTTCCTAACTGGGGAATATTTGGTGGAAAGTTTAAAAGTAAAAAATTCAAGGATTTTGAAAAAGTTCATGCAGTCTTCACCTTACAGTTCAGGCAAATATGATTTTCTCCTGTTTCAGTCAGTTGAACTGAATGAACTGAGGCCACATGTTGTTGCTATCAACATAATTTGAAAAAGATATCATTTTTGGCTATTAATGGTGAGACAAAATCTACAAAAAACTCAAGGATCTTACATAATCAGCACTTTGAATAATATGCTAATAATCTTTATATCATTCAGTGTTGTAACCTGCCAATGGTTTCTAGAGTTTTGACTATTTTGAGCTTCAAACATTACATACGTACATGAAATGTTGCATGACATGCCTAAATCATCAGAATTATACATCTGAAAGAAAAAGATCTGATTTGCTTGTGATTTATATAAAGCAGGAACATTATCTATTAATGTAATCAAATACTATCATAATGTTGTAGTGTCTAAGGTTTGGCTTTGTACATGTCTTATTAACATTTCATAATAATGATTAATTAAATACATTTCTCAGTATCATCGTTTGAACTATTTTCCACACATAATGATATAAACATGGTAAATGTCAAAACATCTCAATGTTTTGGGAACATGCAACCCCTTAAACCACTTGAAGACGGTTCATTAACCTCAAAAAGAAAAAAAAACAGAGAGAGAGGCTGGAGGGTTTTAACGCCATGCAAAGCTGAAGCTAAATCAAAAGCAATATGTGAAAAAGAAAGGAAGCTGGAGTAAGCTATGTCAGTGTAGTGTGAGATTGTTGGTTATAGAACCTTGGTACTTCAAGACAGAGGAACATGTGGAAAATGCACATATGGAAAAATCACAGGTTGTTTAACTAGATTGGAGTCTTCTGAAACACTTATCCAGAGTATAATGACAGTCTACAAACAGGAGCCCCACACCCTATCACGTAGCAGCAAGGATGGTCAATTTAGCTTAGGTTTAGTACTGCTATGCTTTAACTGCTTGGTATCTGCTAACTGCTTGGATCCAAATCAGTAAAGCAGAGCTCAACATAAAAATGTTAGGCTTTAAATCAGTGAGTCCTAAGCTGATGTAGTTCTGATGCAAGAAACTGAAAATGGTTAAAACTTATTCATTTCGCTCATGAATAGCCCTCAAGCCCAGAGTGCTGCGGTTTTACAGGCTAAATGACAGGTAGAAGGAAAGGTCCACTTGAACTACTGTATGTTATCCGAGATATTAGTACTAAGCCAGTGTTAAGAGTGGAACACTGAACAATGCTAGTGATAAATAAAAGAGAAATCAGACCGATCAAATGAACCGAAACATGAAAACATGGAAAAAAACTTATCAAAGCAGAAAACAAACACAACAAATGAATTCTTGTCTACTTCTACAGATCCTAAACCCACTGCAAACTAGAGCTGCAAACAGCCGTTCTTTATGCACTTTATCCATTTGTGGTATCAATTACAAAATTTGAGATGAGTTTGAGGCACAGATTATCAGGGCCAGATGTACGTATGTAAAAAGACGCAGTGCACAAGGTTCCTGGTTCCAGGTTGTTATACTCCATACTGAACATATATGATATTATTATTTATAATATGTTTTAATTATTTTGTCATTATAAAGCATGAGCTATCAATAGGATAAGTGTTATTGTAGGCATACTTTGTTTACACAGTTGCTGTGTGCTTTAGCCTCCTAACATTCTTATTTTCCTCTCTGGTTTGGAGTTTACTTGTGAGTGCAACATATCAAAACTGAAACCATTGCAACGTTAAACTACAGGTGTGGCTGGAGGATAAAAATAGCGGTGGTGACTAAAAAAATCAACATGAATGTCTTCTTACAATGAAATGATGAAACTTTTTTACAGACTATTAACATGTTGATGTGCGTACTCTTTTGGGAACATAACTAAATCAAGACACGTGTCCCTTTCCTGTGAGGAAAAGAATAGTGATGCTATCTTAGAAAAAATAAATAAAGGCAAATTATGGGCAGAAAAGAACGTCATGCAAAACTGAAAAGAAAACAGTACAATAATGGCAGCTATAAAACTACTGTGAGAAACATACTGACATAGGCCACTTGTTTGCAGCTAATACCTATTAATCTAAATTTTAAAATGGTTCTATTTGCTTTAGATGCTTTTCCCCCTTAAAATGACAAGAAGAAACAGGGCGAAATCTATTTACTGGGAAAAACAATATCACACGGAGCATTATCACGTTCTAATTCTGATTTCATTATCATTTTGAGCATCTTATCTTGGGGCTGAGCCCCAGGTTGCTGCACAGTCTAGGCACGCCGATGCATTACATACCTACTTTTTCAGGTAGAATGTGTCCTAATTGTGTCTGAAACCTGGTGCAAAAGTCTTAGTACATCTGGCCCTCAGGTTCTATATAATCTCGGGAGTAACGTCTTTAGGCCTCAGTGATCTTTTACTCCAATACACTGAGTTTTAATCTGAATAAAGAACAGTCGTTAACAATAAAAAAGTACAGGGAGTCGAGTCTCGTTTACGAGACAGACGACACCCTGTGAACACTAAAAACTAAACGACCAAACCACATGGTGTAAACTACAACACTACGACAGTGGCAATGCAGCTAAAGACAAAATATCGAGAAAATAATAAAAAAAACAAAAAAAACAATGACACACGTTAGCATGCTGTATTAATGAGTTAGCAGACTTGTTCCTATTTACCTGGACCCACCAATAGAACATCATTAACGGCACTATGACTATGAGGAACATAGGGGTGAGGGCAGAGCATACGAGCAGCACATTGACTGTGTACCAGAAAGTGCGCATCCAGATATCAATATTGTCTGGAATGAGAGTGTCTATTGTGTCCACGTCTTTGCTGAAGCGGTTCAACACGCGTCCTGAGGGGGTGGCCTCGAAAAAGGCCTGCGGTGCCCTCAGAACAGCGTGGAGCATGTTGAGGTGGGTGGTGTGGGCAGCCTTCAGCATACTGTAGGCCCGGCACAGTAAACAGTTGGCCAGAATCAGCAAACCTGTGAGGGGAGGGGCAGCACAAGCGAAAGACAACGAGGAAGAGGTGCGTTAATACTTGCTCTCACACACTATCTCGCTCTCACGTCTGGAAGCACTGATAAACAAGAACAGACACTGAGGAACTGTCACCAGCACCTACAGGTAGTTACACTCTTATACGGTAAGCAACAGCTCTGGCTCTGTTCAGGTAAGCACTCTGCTTAGTGTTTCTGTAGAGTTTAAAACAAACCCATACAGCTTAATACTGAAGGTCAGAACACTTTTGACTTTGCAAAAAGTCTGCAAAAAAAAAGTCATTTGTAAACACTGAAGATGTCTTCCTGAGTCTGTCACCCAAAACAAACAGCAAACTATCAGTGCTAATGCTCTAATACTGCTGGGTCAGATCAAAGATCCATTATCTGCAATGAAATTTGCCTCTACATTTACAATTTTATGTAAAAGTTACAGACCACCTTTCATTTATGTAATTTCCAGTTAGAAATGAACAATAAGTACAAGTTATTTATTTTTCAGGAGATATTTCTGGTGAGATCAGATATAAGATAATCAATCCATTTGCATAAGGAAGAGAAAATCTAAAAGAAAATAACTGAAAAAAAGCAGTTCAAAAAGGCTTAAAAGGTATAGAGAAAATGGGACTCCTAACAACCTGTCAAGACCTGGTAGATCACCAAAACTGTCAAGATCAGATAAACAGTATTTCATCTTTCATCTTTGAGAGAGAAGAGAACATCAAGCTCCACTTTTGCTTCAGATGTAAAAAAAACTTTGGGTCTGAAAGGATGTGTAGCTGTTATCCACCAGCCAAACGAGCTAGACAGCCCTTTCGGTGTTACCTAACAATGAAATTACAAGGTGCTTTAATCTAATAATGTCATGTATGTCATACATATTCAATACATAAAGGCAGGTACATAATATCATGTAATATCATATTATCACCACCAGGGGTCAGTAAGATACCAGATTTCTGCACAGTCTTACTGGTGAGGCTCTGGCTATGCATACACAAATCCTGAAGCAACAATCAGGCATTAAAAACCAATGTATGACTGTACAAGTGTTTGTGTGTGTGTTTGTGTAAATGTGTATGACTGTGACTGCGTGTATGTGAGAGAGATTGTGAAAGCAAACAGGCAGAGCAGGAAGTGGGCGGGGAGGCTGCTGGTGGAGAGAAAGAGAGGAAATGAATACTTGGTTAGGGAGGGGAGGAGAAAAAAAACAGCACGAGACAGAGAGAGAGAGAGAGAGAGAGAGAGAGAGAGAGAGAAAGAGAGAGAGAGAGAGAACCAAGCAGGAGAACAGAAACGCAAATGCACTGAGAAATCACGACCAGAACCGCGTTGCTGTCTGCTTTGCTGCAGCCTGAAGCACAAAAGCTCCAACCTCGAAAAGGGGGAAGAAAAATGTAATCATTATTCAAAATGCTTTGCTGTTTTAACGCTGCAAACATAAACCTCACACAATACCTGTACAAAGAAGTAAATCAAAGCCAAGGGGACAATGACCACGGCAAAGATGGGAGTGCTGGAAATGATAACGATCATGGTGGACAGGGAGGCAAAAAAGGTACCCAGGAACATGAGGACAGTGGAAGGTAGAGCCTCGTCGATCACATAAATGTCTTTGGAGAAGCGGTTGATGATACGCCCTATGGGGGTAGTGTCATAGAAAGCCTGGGGAGTGTGAAATTTGTTGTCCAGCAGGCCCTGGTGCAGCTTACAGGCGGCCTGGATTTTCCCCAGGGCAAGAGTAAAGGCAGAGAACATGACCAGGAAGCCTGCCGTAGAGAAAGCAGAGCAGGAGGAAGAGAGTCACTACACTATAGTGGCCTGCTAAGGGTCAGAAGGAGGGGTACTGGGGGGTGGGGTTTGGGGGAGGGTGGTGGATTTCACAGAGCAGGAACACAGGCCAAAGACAGAAGAACAACCCTCGCAAATAAATCCCATAGTACCACTCACAGTAGAACATGTAGTTTCCACACTAGAGGAAAAATCAAATGTAGAAATTCGTCATCAAGAAATAACTATAGGCAGCTTGTAAGGATAGGAAGTATAAAAGTGAAAACCTGTGTGACTTTTATCCAAATCGGAGATATCATGATAAGCTTAAAAACGCTAAACCACAAACAGCCACGCTCACAAGATAATTAAATATGAATCATTATGTAAACTATTTCAAAGGTATCATGTGTATGATTGTGTAAAATGTATGAAAGTACATAGATAGTATAAGAATACTACTAAAACTACTAATGATGATGATGACTATTAGACTACTAGCATTATTATTAGACATGTTCACTAAATTAGAGAGCCAAAATTATTTTACTAAATTTCTGCTAAGAAAACTAGTTTTGGTTTTCAGCCAAAGAAATGTTAATGCAAATGAGAAATCGGTTAAAAATATTGTCAGTTCCTTTCACTCTCCTGAGCCAGTCGGCAGAGACACGTTCAAAAAGTTTGAGCAGCAGCAGATCAGCAATGAAAACATCAGGTGTGTGGAGTTATTTCATGGTTGGATTTTGTAGCCTACATACTGTAATAATTTTATGCAAGCTGCTTTTATTTATTGCTAGCTTTATTGTTAGCTTTTTATGTTTTTTGTTTCAGTTTTCAGTCCAGTGTGTCCTAAATTTTGGCTTTGTTACAGCCAAAAATGTTCATCTGAGTGCAGCACTCATTATTAGAAGTATTCTTTTTATTATTATTTGATGTGATTTCATACCCTTATTGCCCAGATAGTGAAAATATTCTGATATAAATGTGGAATCCAAACCCACCCATCATGCGCAGATGCCATACACCATCACAGTAACAAAAGCATCACTAAAAGGGACCTGTGCCGTACCTTGTGTAATGCCCAGTGCTGCGTACACCCCCACTCTCATATGTACTTTCTCATGTGCAATTGTGTCGTTCCTGGCGTCATTAGTCCACTGGCTGAGCCAGATGTTGGCTCCGATAGCAGCTGCGCTTTGACTGGCGTACAGGAAACAGATGAAGACGGACAGCAGAGGCCCCACCGCTTTTGCATATTCCCAGTAAACCTTGGACTTCACCTAAATAATATGCGGCAAAAGATAAATACACTGTGAACGTACTGTGCAACACTATCCATTTGAAAATACAATGTTTATATGTAATCATCTCTGAAATTCATCCAAGATGAGCAAATGTGACTCCAGCTCCAACAAAGATGCCCACTCCATTGTATTGTAGATGCCACTTCCACATCCTTTCTTATTCAACTTAGCTTGAATAGCCAAACTTTCTAACTCTTGGTAAAGACTTTAATTAAACAAGACCTTTAAAGGAACTATGCATAGTGGAAAACCCCTCACACTCCAGATGGGGGCAGCAGTGAGCCACTTACCCGGCCCGTCTCCGTGGTCTCGGCCTGGATGAGTTTCTCCCCTTTGGCCTCCTTCTTCTCCTGTTGCGGGTCCCCATGTCTCCTTTCACTGCAGCGGCGCCTGCGGATGGACTTTGTCTTTGGGTTCTCCACATCATTGGACATGATGCTGATCTGCCTGCCAAGAAAACAAAATTGGCACAGATGCTACCAAGGGCCATGACCCAGATATCTAGAAATTTTTATGATGTGTTTTGAGATCCCTTTTAGTACTAGAAGCATCTGTTTTGCACATTAAGCATCTGTTCACAATGTCCACAAAGGCCTGCATTCTCTACAGCACTCCAGTAATTTGTACAAAGAACGGCTGGCCAGGAAAGCCTTGAAGCCATTCCTAGAGTGCCACAGGCTGTGTGAGCTTTTGTGCTGATTTGAAACAGACGCAATTGAGAACAAGAAGCGCAAAGGAAAACGCATCTATAAAACGGAAGAGACCCTTCAAGGCACACAATCTCTACCTCATGAACTGTCTCCGGGCCTCGTTGACTGCAGGCTCGTTGTCCACCATATCGGTATGGTTACTGAGAGCGTCATCAGGGAACGACTCCTCCTCATCCATTAGCACCTCTGGGACGCCCAGCCACGTGTCCAAATGATAAAAATACACACAGAGAGACAAAAAAGGAAAAAATTAGAAACAATGTGACTACTGCTGTCTAGACTGGCCCCTCGAGAAACGATTTTCATGGCCATGGCCTCATTTCATCTTTTAATTTTCCTTTTATATGTTTTCTCTTGTGTACCCGTCACTTCATCGTCCTCTACGATGTCCTCCAGGGAGTAATTCCTCAAAAAGTCAGCGAAGGCCCCATTCTGTTTCAGCAAGTCTTGGTAGGAGCCCATCTCCGACACCATGCCATCCACCAGAACCATGATGTTATCCACCTGGGGCAAGAAGCTGATGCCGTGTGTCACCAAGATCCGCGTCTACACCAAAACACGCACACAGTTTTTTAATATAAGGGAAAATTACAACAGCACTATGGATTGTGGATGGGTGTGGTCATTCCAATATACTATTTGAACTCATATAAATGTGAACTCACAAAAAAATAATCGTTCTTAACAATGGACTGGGCACCCCAAAAACCCAGAAGATCTCAACATCACTGAACGTGACAGGGATTACTTGGATTGAGAAAAGCAGAAAAAACGACTTTCTCCTAAGACCAAACTTTGGAGGTGTGGAAAACTATCCCTGCAGATTTCTTTGAAAAACTAAAGACAAGTCCCCTGAAAAGAACGGAAGCTGTAATAAATGCAAAGAACGGACACACTGAACACTGAAATTTATTTTTATTTTTTTTAAATCGTTGAGGCTTCTGTTTCATTTTTCTGCTTGTTTTTCTTGATGCTGAAAAATTAATAACTTTTACTTAAATACCTTGTACTTAAAAGAATATGTAAAATCACGTTTCCATTTATTTTAATTCACAACAACAAAATACTTGTTGGGATATTCACACACTATTCAATTTAAAACATACATTTTCAAATGGCAAAATTGTCAAAATGCCTATCTATGGATGGCATGAGCAACAAAACTGTTTCAAAGCTTGTAAAGGAAGTACATGCCCTGAGAGACATGTATGTAAAACAGCTAGATTAATTGTCAGGTGGTCAGAAGTGTGACTGGTAGTATCTGTTACATATAAACCACATGGGACAGATAAGCATCTTGTTCCCGAGAGGGCTCTGATATCACCAGATAAGAGGCATCATTTGAGTAAGTCTTCTGACCTCATCTGTATACCTGATCCGTGATCCAGGTTCAAACATGAGGAACATCACTTATTTAAATACAATAAAGGAAAGTATGCAGTCCCTCGCAGCCTAGGAGAAAGTATATTGTTGCTGTCATATCAAAACTTTTTTTTTTCTTTCAGTTTTTTGACACCATTTGAAAACACTGCCTGCCCTTTGCATTATATGCACATTTCATGCTGAATGGACAAAGAGATGAAATAACATGTCACAGATACACTGGAGATGCTAAGACACTAATGATATAGAGAACTGGAAATCATTTCATTTTTCATTTTTGAGCCTTCCCAACTTGTGCAGGGCCTTTAGGCACATGGAGCAAAGTCTGAAGTTGTCTTTAAAACTACCTTTCCACGGAGGGCTCCCTCGGGCCCAATGACATTGTCGAAGATGTGCTTGGCCACATGGGCGTCCACCGCAGACAGAGGGTCATCCAGTAGGTAGACGTCTGCTTCACTGTAGAGAGCTCTGGCCAGGCTCACCCTCTGCCTCTGGCCTCCAGACAGGTTAATACCCTGCATAAACAAAACGCCCAAAGACACTCCCAACAATCAGCAACTCATCCACTAAGCACCAGTGATTAATTAAGGCTTAATAGGAGAGCAAATGAACATGATACTTAGGAAACAGAACACAGGAGGAGGCCTTCGGCTTGTGCCAAATCACAGCAGCGATGCGGTGCACAGTAACACAAAATCTCAAGGTTTACTGCTTTTGTAACAGCTTTGCAAAGTAAAGAAAAAGGACAGCAAAAAAGCCCCAAATATTATGTCAGTTGGTTGAATATTAGCAGTTTCTTATGACAAATAATTTCCAGCTTAAAGTGAGCATTGCTGTTACCTGAGGAATGACGCAGGTCTGGTGAAAGCTTGGCATTATCTGTACTTAAATAATCAAATTACTTAATCATATTACTGATTACTTATCACTTCATCCAGGCAAGTTGGTTTTACTATCTGGTTGAAAATGTGTTTTTTCTTTGCTTTTCTTGTGAGAAGGAACAACTGAACAAGTTATAAGAGAGTATTTTTGCATGATGGACATTTTTTATTTTGTATATAGGCTATACAGTCACAGCAAAAGGTTGAAAACTCCTGGTCAAATGACATGTTTTTGTTGATTTTTTAAAGTGAAAATATGATGTCACATCCTCTACGAGGAACAAACTTAAATAGGTTATTTTTCTGAAAAAAAAAAAAAAAACAACCTGCCACTGCCAACAGCGAGCCCTAGGGCACCATCACATTAATGCTGCTAACATACAGAGAGACTATTATGTACAGTCAAACGCAAAGCTTTGAATACCCCTAGTCAAAGGAAATGTTTTGTTGATGTTCTAACTGAAAATAAAGTGAACATTTTCTTAGTGAAAATAACATATTTAACTTAAATGTGACATTTTTCTGCAAACATTATCGCACAATGGCTGTTAATATGCTAAGTTTACCATACTGGAAAAAAAACATAAAATATAAAATGTACCATAACGTTTGTTACATTTTATATTTTATTGTTTCCCAATATGTTAAATTTAGCTAATAAACAGTAATTGTGCAATGTACAAAAGTGTGCTCTCTATAGAGGATGTTTCAACTTGTTTTCACTTCAAAAAAAGGGGAAACCCAAACTTTTGCTCAACACATACAGCTCTACGTATATATTTAGGTGCAATTGGCATGTTGTAGTTATTTTAACCACAATAGTGTTTTGTGTCAATGTTTATAAGTTAGTTTGAATGGTATAGTTGTAACAAAGCAACCTGCAATTTACTGCCAGCTTAGCAGTCTTTTTAAACGCAGGTGTGGGAGCACATTACTCTGAAAAGCTCTTGGTGAAACAGAATTTTTTCCCTACGTCCCTTCACATTACTAATGTGTACATATTACAAAGCTTGCATGTATTCAACACAGTAAATAAGTATAACTGAAAACAGTTTCGAAACATAAATCATTTGAGGTAACAGAACTAGTCATAAAAACACAACCACAATCAGTTTGTGTGGTCCATGGCGCCTGGTATAAAGGGGCTAGTGGGGCTAGGCCCTCCCTCTCTTTCAAAGAAAAAAAGGCATCAAAATAATATTTCATTGACCAACCCCATCTTTTTACCTGCGGTTAACAAATGCCTAGAAGCTGATTAATCTGGCCTTTCTGTTGACCCAATGCCACCAAAAAGTCATAAGAAAAGTCTGAATGAATTGGTGAATGAATGAATGAAAAGGTGGGGCTGATTTAGATTTTAGCCCATGCTGTAGATCCACTCAGCCTGTCTGTAACTCTGTGTAAAATGAATCATGACATATTACACAGAGTGAAACTTCCGCTACAGTCATTATCCATGTAAGCTAAATGCCTAGCTCCGCCCTCCAGCAGTCTGCAGTCAGTGCTTGTTGGGGCGGGTATGTCTGGTTGCAAAATCTTTGTTCCTATGTCTGAAGCAGTTGTAAAATAATAGCATGTCATCACATGGCAGTGTTTTTTTACTTCATAAGAAGCCTGTCATTTATTCACTTTACACTACTGCAATACTGCTAATTTCTATTAGCATCCTAATGGAATTCACAGTAAAATGTTAGCGCCAAGCTAACAGTGGTGCTATTTCAGCTGCACATGGACATTCAGATATTATAACATGGACATTTCAACCTTATATCTGCTGGTAACAAAAATTCAGGATTTATGGTTTTACAGAGTCCTTCAGGAATGATTTAAATGTAAATCTTATCATCTCAAGGCAGCCAACATTTACATTTTTGTTAGAGTGAGATTTCAGCAGGCTAGGCCAGGCCTGGCAGGGAAGAGGACCAGAGGCAGGGAGTTGGGGGGCGGTTTTGGGGGTTAGAGGTGGACACAAGGATGAGCGGTATGTTTTTTTTTAGGATTATATCATTCTTATTCTTTCTGTCCTGGTTGCACATTGATCTTTACGCTCACTACTGTAGGTTCTTGATAAATGTCTTGTTGCCAGTAATGAAAGCCATTTGATAGAAATATTTGACACAAGAAGATTCTAATTCACTTTTATTTCTGTCCACAGCATTAGACGTCTGTTATGAATATGGCCATCAAATATTATTAAGAAGTTGCATCAGCATCACAGTCACTACCCACACTCAAACCTGACCTGTTTCCACATCAACACACATATCCATTTATAATAAAACCATTACTTTTAAATAGAATATATACAAATATCTTTTTTTTAAAACTTACTCATATTTATAGGAAATTATAATTGGTCACATTAAGTGACTTGATAAGGAGTGACAACAGGTAAGCCTTTAGAGGAGCAAAGATGGAAAGCTGGTTTTAAGTTCTGCTTTTGCTCAGTATTGATAATTTTATCTTTCCACTGTTCAAGTAAGTCAGCAATACCGGTCCAGAGTGTTTTTAGACAGTAAAGCTGGAGTAGTGAGAAACTTTATTTATAAGCGTTCAGATAAATCGGTGGGCTGATTTGAGGAGAGACTTAAAAATGCGTGGGAAATGTCAAGTGTGGCGTTAGAGCGTAAGATTAAACCTAAATGCGTGAGTTTCACGGCCAAAACGTGAGAGTTGGCAGCCCTGTCATCTTCTGTTCATGTTGTAGTGGACGAAAAGTGCAGTCGTGCTGTGAAGGATAGTGTGATTGCCCTGTTAGCCATTAAGTAATGGTACACATCAACATTTAAAAGTGTGTGACCTGTAGACAGCTAAACAGCTCATTACATCGTTCAATTGCTGCAGTTGTGAAGGGGCTCTTAAATGTGAGGGTCAATGTGTGAGCTTTTGATAGGTGATATTCTTTTCTGCTCTCCCACCCAACATTATCACTAGTTGTCATTGGTGTGGTCAGAACTGATGATTATATAAATGTGCAACAAAAACAATAATTGATGATCTGTAAAAACAAGGCTATTTATGCATCTAAAACAAAAGCAGTAATACCTTCTCTCCTATCTCTGTTTGGTCACCTCCAGGAAGCACTTCCAGGTCAGGGGTGAGGGCGCAGGCCTCCAGCACAGAACGGTACTTCTGCTCCACATAGGGCTTGCCAAACAGGATGTTGTCTCTCAGTGTGGCATTCTGGATCCATGCCTGCTGGGGCACATAAGCCACAGAGCCCTAATACAAGAGAAAGGCAGTATGTTAGGACATCTAACAGTATCAGTATCAGGAGAATAATGTACAAGTCCACTCACTCTTATGGAAATATGCCCTTCCTGCTTTTCCATCTCCCCCAGCAGAGCAGACACCAGAGAGGACTTTCCACAGCCCACATGACCCACCACTGCCAACAGTGAGCCTTGGGGCACCAGCACATTAATGCTGCAAATATACAGATAGACCATTATATATGAACACATGCTTCTAATCAGCATTTCTAATAACTCTATGACATTACACACTATAAACACTTAAACATTAACTTTGAGTCTGTGATGTTTTCATATTTTTTGATTTTCTAAGTGTAAATAAGTACACGTCCTCTACAGAAAGCACACTTCTGCACATTTTGATGCAAAATAGATATACTTAAAAATATACTGCTTATTTGCTGAATAAAACATAAAGTGTGGCCTGTGCAAAAGTTATGGCACATTTTCTATTTTGTGTTTTATTTTTTTCCAACATGTTAAACACAGCAAATAAACAGAAATTTTGTCCAAAAATGCAGAAAAATTCAAGTTCAATATTCAAGTTTGTTCCCTGTATAGGACGTGTTTACATATTTTCGATTAGAAAACATTTCATTTCACCAGGGGTGTCCAAACTTGCGCATTTCACAAAAGTGAAAATGTTCTAATTAAACTGACATGACCATCCAAAGCAAGGACATTTCAGACGTGTCAGATGATTTTCTGCTGAAACATACTGACTGTTTTTGTATTGTGTTTTTCTATAAATACTTCAACAATTATAGATTTCTACAACATCTACTACATGTATGTAAGTATGAATATATAAGTATATTTGTACTGGTCAAAATATTCTGTATAAAGAACACAACACACACGACTCAGATTTACTGAAAGAGCTAATTACAGACAGTCCACCGACACTTTGTTCCAGTAGGGGTGGCAAAATTAGCAGTCATCTTCCAAGAATGTCCATGCAAATGAACACAGGCTTTGTGATTAACATATGAGCAGTGCAACATAAACCCACGGTTTGGCTCAAGTGCCTTTTGTATGACAGCCTATTTACGGATGAAAAGGTGTTTCTCGTTGACATAAGTCAGAAATTCAGGAAAGTAATTAATTATTTAGTCTTTCTGTTTCAAAACACATGCTCATTTTCTGCTGGAGGGATGAAATGAACTTAACTAGAGTGCATTTAAAAACATTTAAATGTTGTAAAATCGCTGTTTAATTTCACTGAGTGCATCCTGGTTGTTTAGGAACTGTATTATTTTGAACTTGTGGTGAGCGTAGCTACGTGCAGTGCATGAAGGGCTGACATTTCTGCAACAGTGCGCACAGAAACCACAGCACATACAACGTAATGATCGTCTTGAGTAATGCAGGGACTGCACAGCCAAAAGAATTTCAATGTGTGCTTTTAACAGTCATTTGGAAAAGAAAACTGTTGAGTCATTTTTTAGGCAAAACCTAACAACATTTTTATAGTGTTAGTGATAGCGAAAGTGATAGCATTAGGAAACAGCAGCATGAACAGTTTTACAAAACAACTTTGTTTTCAGGTTTTTTATTTACTTTATTAAATTAAAAATAATGGGACATGGCAGGTGTTCACAAATGTTTGTTTTTAACTGAAAATAAATTGTGTTTAAGCTTTTTTTTCTTTGTCTCTTAGCACAAATATAGCAGCCATGTTAGCGTCAAAACTAAGACAAGCTTTTTACAGGCGTTAACAGCGCACGGTCGGTATTTACTATCAGCCTTTGTAAATCAGAGTAGGTGCTTTATTATAATAATCTCCTCCCGGTATTTTGTGCTTTGAGAAGGAAACTCCTGGCCTCCCATCTGGTGTTATTATTCTATTTGGAGTTCTAAAAGCCTGTTTTGCCTATTTAGTCTTGAGAGGCAAAAATGTTAGTAAATCTCCCCCGAAATCATACAGTTTCTGTAAAAAAAAAATCATCCAGACAATATCTGACAAGATTTTGTATGAAGTTTTGTTTGCATTTGTCAATTTGCTTACTTGTGAAGAGTGGGCGAGTCTTTTTTCGCCCATGAGAATTTCCCATTCACAACTGTCACAGCGTAATCTGGAAATGTGAGAATCATATTAGTAACTGTTCATGACCCAAGAAGAAAACGAGGAAGCTGACCAACTGCTACAACATTACAGCACTGTATCGTGCGCAAAAAAAGAGCAATGACTCATCAGATCAGCTCTTGCAGATGTACTAATCGAGGCCTGTTTGAGGAGTTTTGAGCTTCAGTAAACAGCCTTCCTGCCTTACCAGAGGGGGCAGGCTTTCTGTCCACATTGTCTGGGTCCAGCTCATCATGACTCAGGAACTCCTGGATGCGCCTGAGAGACACGCTAGCCTGCGCCAGGCACGAGAAGTGGGAAGGAAAAGAAAACAGTGTGACATTTAGGGAAGTAGTGTCTAATGATGGCACTATGAAAAAAACGGCTTTCTAAGTTGTAAACACTCTGGACATTCTTCAGCTGGAGACAGCAGAAAATATTCCCTTTCAGACTGAACCATAACATGCAGGATGTTTGAGACAAATGATGACACTACATTTGAACTCAAGTTTCCACGCTGCGTAAGAATAACAATGTGTTGCGTAAAAACCTGAGTTCAGGATATCCATAAACAGTAAGGGGAAGAGTGCACTCACTTGTACAAGGCTGCTTATGACCTGAGGAAGCATGTTGAGGGGAAATCTTAAGATGTTGAACAGAGACAGGGAGACGAAGGCCTTCTCCGCATCTAAAACATTCTTTTTGTCCACAGTCACATATACAGCAAATGTTGTCAAGGCAACCTGAGGGAACATTTCAGGAGGAGTATCCATTAGACCACTCCTACCACCCCCGACACTGATATAGATCCATTAGCACATGGCAGTGGTGAAAAACCATGCTGGGCAAGGCTGCTAACCGAGTTCATTGTGACTTGTGACTAATGCAAACACAAAATGTGAGTCACCTACACAGTGCCTGTTATATATCTGTCAAGTCCATCTGTGCAACTAAGGAGGGGCATTTTAATTTATAAATAATCATTTTTGCTATTTGAATGTCTACATTGTTAAATGAATAGTATTCAAATATCTCAGTGAGACAATACTTTATATCATTATAAATAAAAAAAAAAATGAAAGCACGGAAAGTTTAACATCCATTTATTTATTTATTTAACATAAACTATTCCTAGCTGACGTGCAGCACGATAAAGTCAGAGTTATAAGATTAACAAATCTGTCATCTGTTTGTTTGAAGTATTTCCATATGTATACAAAAAAGTATGTGGACACCCTTTCTTATTAGCTGCTCGGCTGTTTCAGCCACACCACATTGCTAACAGGTACATAAAATGAAGCATACAGCCATGCAATCACCATAGGCAAACACTGGCAGTAGGATGCAGTGACTTTTAACATGGTACTACCATGGTGACTTTCAGGATGCCACCTTTCCAACAAGTCAGTCTGTCAAATTTCTGCCCTGCTAGAGATGCCTCGGTCAACTGTAAGTATTATTGTGAAGTGTAGTTGTCTATGTTCGCAAGAACAGCTCTGCTCTAAAGCGGTAGACCGCACAAGCTCAAAGAATGAGACTCCTCAGTGTTGAACAGCACAGTGAGCAAAAATCATCTGTCCTCAATTTCAGTATTCACTACAGAGTTTCACACTGCCTGTAGAAGCAATGCCAGCATAAGAACTACTCTTCAAGAACTTCAGAATGATTTGGATTAAGTTTCTATGGCCAAGCAGCCACTCAAGACCAAGATCATCATGCCAAGCGTTAGATGAAGCGGTGAAAAAGACTTTGGACTCATGTTCAGTGGAAACATGTTTTCTGGAATGAATAATCATACTTGCGCATTTGCCAGTCTGATAGACAAATTTGGGTTTGGCTGACGCAGGACAGCACTACATGCTCAAATTCATAATACCAACTGTAAAGTTTGGTGGAGAAGGAAAAACTAGTCTGGGGTTAACCCCTGGTTCTACTGAAAGGAAATCTTAACACTACGACATGCAATGACATTCTAGAGAACTGTGGCAACAACTTGGAGTAGTTGCAGCATAACAATGTTCCCATGCACAATGTGAGCGTCATAAAGAAATGTTTTGGTTTTGAGTTTGGTGTGGAAGAACTAGACTGACCTTCATACAGCCCTGACCTCAACCCAGGTTCCAAAATCTAGCATAAAGATTTCCTATTAGAGTGAAGGCTGTTACTGCAGCAAATGGAGGCTCCAACTCCATATTAATACCTTCAGTTTTGGATGACATGTTCAACAAGCAAGTGTTGATGTGATGCTCTGGTGTCCACATACTTTAAGCCACATAGCATAGATCCTCTCACATCATTCTGCTTAACATTAAATGTGATATCTGCCGATATTCTCTGTAGCTCTGGACACTTAGTTAAACAGTTATTCAAAATTACATTTCATTCTCATTTTATCCAAACTACACGTCTTATTTCTAAACTCAATGAAGTAAACCAATACCAAGATGAGTTTGGATATCTGAATATTTGGTTAACCAAGGCCAATGTTGGACATTCAGTTCAAAATTATAAGACAGATAGAAAGCAACTTACCAGAAAGGGGGCACTGGTCCAGGCCATGGTGGAGAGAGCACTGAGGTAGGCAGTTTTGCGCAGCACATTGAGCTCTTTTTGGCGAATCTGGAGAACCTTCTCCTTAAACGAGACCTCCCAGGCGTACAGCTTCAGAACCTTTATTCCATTCAGAATTTCATTCATCAACTTGATGCGAGCATCTTTATACTGCATCTGCTCCACCTGCAGACCACAGAGCAAATCAAGAAACTGAGATAAAGACCTGAAGCAGGTGTGCTGAGCTTATGGAACTTCTGCATAAACAGCAGTTGAAAGGAGTACTCTGTATAGTAATTGCATTTAACTGCCGTTGAACTGCTAAAACATTCTATTTCTAATAACCTATTTTTAGTTTAAATGACCCAATTTAGTTAGGTATTATAGAGACTTGCTTGCTTCTTCTGTCATTAAAAGACACAGAAGGCAGAGTTATGCCACAGAATGAGTTGTGACAGTATCAAAGACCACACAAATAAAGTACATTATGAGATAGCATCGTTTGGTTTCAGCAAATCACTACTATTATCTTTGTTATTACATAAACAGACAGACAGAAAGACCTGGTAAGCTCTGGTTTTCATGGCGATGACAGCATTGAAGGGAATCAGCAGGATCATAACAGCCACACCTGCCAGCACAGAAGGCCCCAAAGTCTATAAGGTAAAATGAAAAGGTGGAAAAAACAGATGGATAAAAGGCTGAGTGACAAACAGGTGGATAAAAGACTGAATGACAAACAGACAGTAATGTTGGTGCCTCTCATCATGTCTCTACAGAAAGTCTAGAGTTAATCTGGCCTTTTGTGGAAACAAAACAGCAATCAGTGTACTTTAGATGAGCACCCTTCCTGCACCACACGCTAGAGCACACATGAGTGACATCTCTGGAATGTGCACTGATTAAACCTCGGTATTTTATATTCTGGACAAAATACAAGTTGCTTGCTAGTGAAAAACAACCATAAATATACAGAAGCCTCATACGGAGGCAGCCCGAATTCCCATATTCTACATTTTTCTTGTCTTTATTGTCCACTTATGATGTGTATACAGTTTCATATATCAATAACACCCTTAATTCATTTTTACATGACCTTTTTCCAATCTTTCTTCATCCCTTACAATTAAATGGGCTGTTTATGTTAAAAAACCTGTCTGGGCTGAAACACTTATAACCAGTGTTAACAGGCAGGGCTAAACTCTTGTAGGATGAAAAGGCAGACATGTCACATCACAAAAACAACTGATTCAAAATGGGCTGTTTTTGCAACTTAATTTCCATATATGGACTGTATAGACTAATATATGTGGGCCAGAGAACACAAGCAAGTACATTTTGAAAGAGGAACATGGTGTTGAGGTCCACACATGCCGCTGCAGCCCATCTACATCTTTTTATAAACTTTCGAAGTTAAAAGCAAGAGCCATATGTACATTTAAAATATATTTATATTCTACTACTTTTACATTCTCAGGCTAATTATATTGATAAACCTTTAAAGAAAAAATAAAATATTTTATTGGAGATAAAGATAAACAAGAGAGCCTTTAGAAATACTTTATTTAAAAAAACGTTAAAAGAAATATATATGACAAAAATGCATATACGTGATTGTGTCCATCAAGGGCTGTTCCTGTCCTATTGTCTAAAGTGGATGCCTGTTGCATTCAGCTACATGGTGAAGCTTTGCTCATTTTTATAGCTCACAGTAGGTCAAACTGTGTTCAAAACCACACTGGGAATTCTGCATGATCTTAATGAAGACTTGGATGTAGTCTGAGTGGGTGTATTTACAGAAAAGATTTGGGTGACTATAGACTTCTAGTGTTAGCAATGGTAGCCTTGTAGCTCCAATTCTAAACTAAAGAACAAAATTTCGAATCAAACATGCCTTGGCTGGCTGACTACAAATGGGGTAAGAGGAAACTTGTGTACATTTGATAATTTGCCTAACTATTCCTTTAATCAATACCTACAAATTGTACCAGGTACGTATAATGTTTAAAACCCCCAGCAAGCGTGTTAAAAAAATCTCCCATAGTGGTCCCTTTATATTGTTGGATGTGGTGGAGGAGGGCTGATAAACTGTGCAGCAAAAGATGGGCTACAGTGAATTACTTTAATCCTACAAAGTGTGTATATGGTAAGTGTTTCCAAAAAACAGCCAGTGATTATGATTACTTTTCATGGTGTTTCTGTTATTTTGTACCCCCACCATATTTCATTTTCACAGGGTGAGGGCTGAGGCACTGACCTGCCAGAGAAAGAAGAGGGCCAGTACGATTTGAAGTGGTGCAGACCACAGCATGTTGAGGAATGTGGTGAGGTCCATGAAGCGCTGTGCATCCACAGACATCAGGTTGACCACCTCCCCCACTGTGGAGGAGCGCTTTGCTTCATTCGTAATAACCAACGACTGTGTGAAAACAAACAGACAGTATCTCAGTGAGACTTTTGTGCCTACCTGTGCTACACGGATTCATTTGTTAAGTCACTCATACAAAGTTAATGGATTCATTTGTTTAGTTACTCATACAAACCATTATCATGCAGTACTGGGGCTGGTTTAGATTTTGTTGTATTTTTTGGTTAATTTTTGGCAAGAGATCAGGTGCTATTGTGTACAAAAAGCAATTATGCAATCGTGACTCAGTGACCTTTGACACAGCACAATATTAAGGGTAGCTACGTAGGAGGACATAAAAAGCATTTGGCGCCATTGTTAACATGACACCAATGAAATGCAGCAGGAGAAAGCAATGAATCACGTACACTTTTTTGAGAAGAAGTTCTTTTCCAGGAGTTGTAAATGACAAAACTTTTACTCGAGTGTAACAAAACATTCTACTTTTTATTCTACATTTTTTTCAGACAGCACGCTTTTTAGTTTCTTTTCCATGGAAGAAATTAGAGGTGTATTGGAATAATCCAGGATCGGAACTGGCTGAACATTGACTCCAAAGACAAATCAGTAATCAGCCAATTTATTTTTATTTTGGCCAATCTTTGTTGCTATTTCATAATGTAAACAATTTAAGCCAGCTAAGAACAAGCACTGCAATGGAATGCTGAAGCTACACACCAAAAATGTCAACTGTCTAAATATATTTCAAATTGTGTGAAAGGCCTGTGACTTTCATACCCAGTGCTGTTACAATTACTTATTGCTTTAAAAAGAAAATGTACAAAAAAATCGTCCAGCAGCCATTTTAGCTGTAAAGACATTGGAATGGTTCATAAAAATCAGTGTGCCACTTAAAATTACTAAAAAACTTGGTCTACATTTATCACACTGGTTGCAAATACAGCTTTCTACTGCTTGAGTTCAAAATTCAGTGACTTACATTGAAAGTTTTTTTATAAATCAAGATCCAGGCTTGTTTTCTTGGCCAAGATGACCAGCATGTCCACTTTTTCTGTCTTGAGGCTTGAACAGTGAACTTAGTGTACAAGACTACCAGTTAGTTGTAGTTGTTATTCGGTTATATTTCCCCTTTGAAAACAACATTGTTGATGATGAACACTTTAATAAAATTTGTAGCTCTTATGATTTGAAATTCACACTCTTTCAAACTGTGATTTCAATATTTCAAAACTGATTTATCTTTCAGCTTTACCCAACAGTTAGAATTAGGCTATATATACTAAACCTCTATCTTTAGTAGTAACAATTAATATCACTATAGTATGCAAGAGGCACATTTACTTGAGTATTCTTGAATTTACTACTCTTCCTACAGTGCATTCCTGTATGACCAGTTTAACTTCTTTTCAAACTAAAGCAGCAGCACTTCCACTATAATCTCTTTCCATCCCTTTGTAAACACAATGTATGAATCAGACAGGGGTGGCCTGGGCCTAATCCCAACGATTACACACTACTGGGTAAAGGTGCACTAGAGTAGAGTAAAAGAAAATGCACACTTACATCTACTCACACCCAAAGACAGCACCGTCTTCTAAACCTAATTTAGCAAAGTCATGACACAAAGAGCACAGATTCACCCCTACACATGCCACATCAATCAAACTTGTGTATCTTTGAATGCAGTCTGACTCAGTCTTTCTACAATGCGTGACTCCAATCTGAACAAAGAGCTTGTAAATCTCACCACGTCAACACAAAGACACCACTGACCTTTCACACAAAATCACAACCTAGACCTGAAGGCAGTCAACATGCCTTTTCATGAAGCCGTATACAAGATTCAGGATTTAAGATTCAAGAACTTCCAAAGATGGCAGTACGTCTTTGCCATGCTACCATGCTTCACATTTACAAAGACATAACATATGCAGGGGTACACAAAAGTTTGAAGACCAAGGTCTTTTAGCTGATTTTGTAAGTGAAAAGAAGTTAACACATCCTCTACAGGGAACAAATTGAAATATGGCATTTCTCTGCCATTTTTTTGCTCAATTTCTGTTTATTTGCTGAGTTAGAAAATGTTAGAAAAAATAAAACATAAAATATAAAATGTGCAATAACTTTATATCAGGCCAGATTTTATGTTTCATTTCTTTAAAACAATATGTAAAATTCAGCAAATAAATAGTAATTTTACATTAAAATGTGAATGTGTGTTTTTTGTAGAGGAGGTATGACTTATTTTCACTTAGAAAATCAACAAAATATGTCATTTCATGCCTGCTTGCATCCATACACAGTGATTACCTAATACCATGATATCTATAATAAGGCAGTACTGTAAGATACTCACAAATGCAGATGCGCTTGAAGAACAAGGTTACATTAAAAATACATAGTGTAAGGCACAATGTAGCTACATAAAATAAGCCTTGGGGTATATGTATAAAATTCTAGCCTTAGGCAACTGCCATGCGTAACATTTGCTAGTGTATAAATAGTGTCATTATCAGGCAGAGCACGCAATGCTTACTGCAGGACTTTATGTGGTGCTGTGGAGTCTCTCAGTAATATCTGTAAACACTGCCTCATGCGTGTATCTATTGCATTTATCTGTGAGCTTGTGTACCTTCCTGTAGATGGCTCCTATGATAGCGGTGCGCAGTCTCATTCCTGTGACAAAGCAGTACTGAAAGTGCTGGTGCAGTATGAGCGTCTGCAGCAGGGCACAGCCGAACATAAGGAAGGCCAGAGAGAAGCCCCACCACGATGGGACCCCCTTCTCTTTGGTGAACTCAATCAGCAACCTGATAAACAGAGACAGAACGGGGAAAAATCAGAATCAAAATCTTTTTACCTGCTAAGCATATTATGTACAATATAAAATAGACAATACACAAAATTGCTACATGTGAAAGTAAGGAAAAAGTAAAATCAAAGATACGCATGGGTGTTATGAGCTGGTCATTAAAGTTTTGAAGTAAATTTATAAATATAGTCACTGACAATGACAGGTCCATTAAAGTGGACCCCCTCACAACAACTAAATGCCAACTCACTTAAAAACATTCAGCCATGAATGGACTGTTCTGTTGTTACAATCAAAGAGAATACTGATAGATGAAGTAAGAAACTGGTTTTGTTTAAACTGAGGGGCTGACACCTAATTTTCTTAACATCTAGGCTAAAAGATAGCACTCACTATAAATGTACAGTAAAAAAATACGAAGACAATAGTATGGCACTTGGCCGTCTTACACGTTTCAAATCTTTGGCTAGATCTGCCTTAATAGAGAATTGCACCAATTTTTCAACATTTCTTTTTGGATAGATAATAAAACAGCTGTCTTTATATTGTAGATATCATGATCCCTGGTTTCTAACACCAGCACTGTAAAGTGTCACGGAGTTTCTCTACAATTAACCATTTCATATCAAACTACTCTGAATATCTCAACAATTTAATTACTAAGAACTTTTGAAAAAATTGTTGATTCTCTTTTAAGTAATATCAAACCATGTGTGACAAATGTGTGTCACTGTTAGTTTGATGCTGACACGGCACAGGAAATCCCACTTCTAGAAGTGCTAGAAGTGCAGAAATCAGCATTATCACTGCGGTGGTAATTTGATGAGAAACAACTATTAATAAGGCGAAGGTTTCTGCATTAAACATTGTTATATTCTGATATTGTCATTAATGTATATGACAAAATAATTAAACTGCTCACGAAATGATTGCAATATACAGTGACAGGTGACAAAGTTCTTGTTTTTTTCAGTAGTCCATTCAGCAGTTTAATTTCCTTGTTTTACCTGTTTTTACGACGTTTATTATTTTCTGTTCTCATTTGTTTTTCCTTTATTCTGTGTAAAGCACCACGTTTTAAAGGTACTATATAAATAAATGTATTGATGATGATGATGATGATGATTATGATTATTATTATTCTTACTATTATTACTATCTGCATTTGACCTGCCAGTTATTACAAACACTTCTTTGACACAACATTTAGCCTGCTTGTGCCTAGTTTAAACAGATGTCAGGGAGTTAGATTTAAAACCTAACCTGGGTCAATTTTACATTTCCTGCACCGACTATATCTTTGATCAGCTTCACGTCCGTCTTAATGAAAAAGCTACAGAGGTAACAAATTTGCATAAGACTTTTGCTTTGCAAATATCTGAAAACCCACTGCAGATTAATGACAGCGACGAAGCAGGAACAACATGCAAAATGCCACCAGAGGCCTTTATGCAAACCAGCACTACAAGCTGGCATTGTTCACATGCTGACCATTTAATCAGCATATGCAGCACCATATTTACTTCAGAATCTCCAAGCAAACAAGATAAAGGTGTTTGTTAAAATGTGAAAGTGTCTATTTGTTTTATATGCTCTAAAGCCATTTCTAAGCCAAGGTTAAAAGGGACAAAGTCAGCGGTTGCCACCATGACAGCTATTATGTTCCTCACTACAGCAGACCATATGTATGTACTCACACATACAAAGGATTTTATATAAGCAAAAACTACAGTGACATCTGTTCCCTAGCCAGTGTCCCTTCAGTGCCACTTGATTAAGCCTCTCTGGTGCAGGACTAATGTCTTTTTGAGCAGCAGATAGCAGCATTGCAGGAAACCCAGCAACGGCAGAGTCACTGACAATGGCTCATAAATGCACCAAACCCAGAGATAAAGGTGATTAAACACCATTTATCACCTCACGTCATTTTTCCAGCAACTATTCACAATGACTGTATGTCATTGCACGCCACTCTCTTCCCTATCGTAAATTTCTAACGACTCTCAGTTGCCCTATATAACATCTGTCTAACTAGGGGCCACGTAGCCCTGTAGCTGTTGGCATAAAACATGAACATATGTGTATTTGTTTTCTTTACATTAGCATACTACAGGCCTAGTATGTGTATACTGTAAGTTAATCACTGTGTGTATATACTTAGAGAGCCATTGCCTCAATTTTTCATATTTGCTGCATAATTCAGTGGTTGAGATAAAACAAACATTCTGAGAGGTTTCAAACAATTAATTGTAGAGAAACTTACTGTATCACATTCGGACTTGTGTACTTTAACTAGTGTCAAAATATAAATAAAGCACTTTTACTTGAGTAAAATTTTACTTCTGCTTTTATATTTTATTTCTGCTTTCATTTCATTGGATTTGTGTACTTTGTCCACCACTGGAATTGTTCACAGTGGTGGAGACAGGAACCAGGGTCACAATGTCTACAACGCAGATATAGTCAATTTATTTACTATTCAAAACCATCAGTGAAACTACAGGTGTCTTTGAGTTATATGTAATGATATGTTGATGGTAAAATAGTGTTAAAATCTGACAAAATAGGCCAAAATCTTTAAGCTACTGCAAAACAATGTTTCAGGCATCAGGCAACATATTCAAAGCCATTCCAAACTTTCTGTGAGACAGCTTTTAGAGGCATTAAATGCTTCAGATGTCTGGTTCCGATCACCATCACTGTGAACAATTCCAGTGGTGGACAAAGTACACAAATCCAGTGGAAGCTGAAATAAAATAGAAAACAGATATAAAAATATAAGCCCTTTATTTCTATTTTTACATGAGTTAAAGTACAAAAGTACTTGCTTTAACTACACTTAAGTATCAAAAGTAAAAGTATTCTACCAATTGATCATTTCACCTTTTCTGCTTTTTAGTTTAGGAAATGGGTAAGATTTTGCTTCCCTTCCAAACTCATGTCAAAGCAAGTATCTGATTTAAAAATATTAGACACAACATCACAATATTTTCTTTCATTCTGAAAGTTTGCTGGAGCTGCCCAGGCCTTGTTACAATTGCTTAGCTACGGGACATTCAGTATTTTCATGATTTAGTGAAAGGTGCAATATATTTATTCGCATATTATGAAAAATCTAGTTTTTACTTCACAGTATCTTGAGAAAGTAGTGGAGCAAAAAGTAGCATATTTTACTGAGAAATGTAGTGGAGTGAGGGTAAAAAATGCGAATTATAAAAGTACAGATACTTAAAAGTACGTGTGCCTCATTACTGTCCACCACCAAGCTTTGTAAGGTTCCCTAGACTGCACTATTTCACATCAAACCACTCTGGATGTTTCTGTTTGCATCTTAATGATTTAAATTTGTGGAAATCTGTGGGATTATCAACAGTACTTATGTAAAAATAGCTAAAATGTAAAAAAGCTAAAAAAGCTCATTTTAACTTTAAAATGCACATCCTTTTTTAATTTTTAATGTCCTTCTTTCCAGGAAAGTCACCTCATCTGGGATTCCAATATTTTTTAACCAGCCCCAAGCCTTATAACGTCAACATATCACATGTTTCACCCCAGCTTGATTATACATCACTCTCACATCACCTCAAACTCAAAAAAGGGGAAGAGAGAGAGAGAGCAAGTGAAAAATAAAAGAGAGAGAGAGAGAGAGAGAGAGAGAGAGAGAGAGAGAGAGAGAGAGAGAGAGAGAGCGCAAGTGAGAGAAAGGGAAAACATAAGTGTGCCTGAAATTTCTGTAAAACAAGGCAAATTTACTACACTGTAAAACAACAATCATGTAAAGTCATGAAACTTATAAAATTGACAGTTTAAATGTCAACTTCATTAAACATCAAATTGTAATTTAACAGAGCAATGTGCGTTACATTTTGTTAATTCTTTACTAATGCTTATCAAAACAAACAGAAAATCCAAATTTGATTCTGAATAGAAGTTTGAAACTTTCATTTAAACTTAGATGAGCACTGTTAGATGTTCACCCGTAGTATAACTATACAACACTGCATCACTTTACACCACTCAGAACAAGTTTGATGTCATTTTTCCTCGTCATATTATAACTGCAGTTGGAAGACATTTATGTAAGTGGCCACTGGCCTTCACCTGAGAAGCTGTGGGTTGATGAAGGTGATGAGGTCCTGCAGCAGCTTGAAGGCTGAGCCGATGAGGAAGTAGGGGCCAAATGCCCTGAGCAGAGCCCGTAGAAATGAGGGCTGACGGGACTTCTTCCGGTCAGACAACAGCACCTCCACCTCCTCAGGACTGACCTCTACATGGTTGGCCTCTGTTCCAGCTTTAGAGTACACCGCCTGTCCGTTCACATCCTGCTCAGTGCTGTGGAGGGGAGGAGAAAGATTCTTGTTGTGGTGATCATGAACTACTTTTGAAGGAAATGTTTAACATGTTGAATGGTGCCAAAGTTGTTTTTGTATGTTCTCTAGAAACCTCATGTCACTAAGGGGAGCTTTTTTAAGTAGTACAAAAATGGCTTTGGAAATAATACATGGCAATCATTTTTATTAACTCAGGATGTTTCGTTTTTGAATGTATTTACCAAACTATATATTTGATCATATTTAGACTGATTTTAAATAATCCTGACTATAATTTAGGCCACTTCTTGAGCTTCTCAATGACGTCATATATTTGAAGGTCGTATTTTTCATTTCATGAAAGAAACATAGATATACAGAAAGTAGACAAATTAAAAGAAAAAAGTGCCTTTAGGAAGAAGTTCAGTGCACGTTGACATAGATTCTACAAGTCTCTGGAACTGCACTGGGGGATAGAACACCATTCTTCCAAAAAATGTTCCCTCAACTGGTGTTATGATGATGGTGATGAAGAGCGCTGTCAGTCCAAAATTTTAACCATTAGTTCAAACATAGTTGTCCAAACAGGTTGAGATCTGATGACTGTGAAGGCCATAGCATATGACTAACATCATACTCATACCCTTTAATCCATTCAGCGACCCCTTGTGTACTGTGGATGGGGTCACTGTCATTCTGGAAGAAACCACTCTCATCAGGATAGAACATAAATCATTAGATAAAAGTGTTCAGAATAACTTTGTATTAAATTTCAGTGACCCTTCCCTTTATCTAGACAAGTGGACCCAAACCATGCCAGCAAAATGTCCCACCACAGCATAAAACAGCCAGTGGACCCCCTCACTATAGTGGTCAAGCAATCGGGCATGTACCATTCTCTTGGTGTAAATCACACATGCACTCACCCACTTGCGGAGAATATGGTGACGGGTGACCAATCAGACCATATCACTTGTTTCCACTTCTCTGTATATTTTTGCTTGTGGATTTTTCACACCACTAAATTCTAAAATTAAATTTCATTTAGTTTACTGTTCCTGTTAAAAAACTTGCCAGTTGAGCAGTATTTGTGACCGAAGCTTCTGCCATCCATGGTAACACTTTACTTGGAGTGGTCCTTTATAGATGATATAGATTAAACACTTAACAGATTATCAGTAACACATCAACAACATATCAGTGAAGTAGCAGTAGTGCAGCATCTGAATACACTGAAGTACATTTTTTTTATGTACTGTTGATACATTACTTAAAAAAAGTAGATGTAATGTTAATATGTTACTCGCATTACGGAAAACCTAACCTTACCCAAATCCTAACCCTCACCCTGGCCCCAATTCTAACCCCAACCTTAACCCAAAACCTAATCCTTACCCTCATATGTTTTTGACATGTTACTGAGAGTATGTTGAGTGTTTGTTTCATCTAAAGGTACCACTCAGAATAAAGTGTCACCCCTCTTTCTTCAGCACCTCAGTGACTATTCCATGTAGTACACCTGTCTGTAATAATCAGCACTCTGCTCATATGATCAGTTTTTCCTTTAATTTGTCAACAGCACATTCAATTATTTATTTAGCCTCTCTTGAGCAAGATAAGGCTTTTGGTCTTTTGACATATGGCTGCTGGTGTCCTAACATTACACAAGCCAGTTAATATCAGGAATGTCTGCCAAGGGCAATACGTAACATAGAACGGAAAAACGTGGCCTGCAAAGAGAAAAAAACTCTGCAGTTTTTTTAGGCTCAAGTTGACGGGACACTCCTAAGTGTCAAGTGTACCAAATGAGCTTTTAAAAACCACTGAGTATTTACACAGTGGGCTCCATTCTGAAGCTGGCAGGAGGGACTTTTCTTAACATAGCAGACGGACGTCAAAAGCGGCACAAATGCCAAAGAGCAAAGTGGGCAAAAATTTCATAAATACCTCTACCGCCTCCACTTGTGTGAGACTAAACAAACTGCATGGGGATCAGTTGAAAGTTCCTTGGATATAAAGTGAAAAAAGTAATTTTTACTGCTTCTGCTTTCACTTTATTTTCTTCTTAATTCTCACATGAATTCATGTGAGACAATTCCAGTGAAGCAAGAGTACTCCACCGCTGCTCATGAACTTTGAACACTTCATGATCAGTTCGGTTAATTTATATCAAACTGCTGACTATATATCAAACTGCTGAAGATGAATACACTCTTCTTGTTTTCAAACACAAATATATTAGTGTTCCATAAACAACAGAATTAGAAGCTCATTTATTTAGTATCAGCTAAGCTTCTGGAGAGTCAGCTTATGTCAGAACATTCTGACACATCAGCATTTTCTTTTATCACACTTTTGTAAGCATGTGAGAGATTGCAAAATTTATCTGCAAACATGCAAAGGAAATGAACATGAAGATTATCAATGTACCATTTCTCTGTAGATGTAAAGACATGATCTTTAGTCTAACTGTAACTGTTGTAGCTTTCCCACAGAAACTGACACTCACATGTAAGTGTTGCTCATTAACAGCACTGTGCCATCCCATACCTCTGTGCTTTAGACTTTTCCACTTCCCATTCCCTGAGGAGCTCGGGCACCACCGTGTCGGAGCTGTCCTGCTTGTTTAGGGACCACAGGTCTTTCGTCTCTAAAGGGTTTTTGTAGCCTTTTATAGCCATGCTGAGAAAGAAAACAGAAATTAGAAACAATTTCATACACTCAGCCATAATTCTGTGTATCTGGAGTGAAATATAGAAGAGCAAGCACTGGAAATGTTTTAAATACGATTTAATATAGAAAAAGAATTGAATTTGAGCAGAATGTGTTCAGGGCCCACAAAAAATGATTTAAAATGAGGGATTCGGAACAGATTGAGTTGACTTCATGAGCTCCTGTAAAATATGATTAATTCTATTTGTGTCTTTACATTTTTGGAGAAAAGAAACAGACAAACAGGCATTTTCTCCCCTACTGCTCTTTGCGATGGCAGCCCACGTGGGTGTCTGTTCCTCTTGGAGGAAGCATGTGCTAGCCTTCACACTCCCAGCTTAATAGCACTGGGGAGACGTAGCTAATAGGTGGCCACAATGAAATTGAGGAGAAAATGCGATAAAATGTCTAGGTGTCATTTTACATTAGTATGGGGATAAAAGTTCAAGCCATGCTGAGGTAATGACTTGCTTAGCCATTTACTGTTCATTTTTAATTGAATGTTTTGGAAGCTCTCCACAAATGGCTTATAGTCCTTTCTCAGTTCCAACTTCTGGCTTAAAGAACTTACTTGGAAGCAGCCAAATGAGTGGGTATTATTAGCTCCATCACTTTACACACGGTGTCTCTGATGCATGGTTTTGTGGACAGCTATTTTGATACTGATGTAAAGGTACGATAACCTGGAGGCTTTGTTTTAGAACAATTCATGATTCCAGGTTAAGCTTTCCTAAAGGAATGACATGGCTAGGTGGTTAGTCTTGCCCAGCTTCTGCAAAAACAAATGCTAATATATTTAAATTACAACATACCACTTTCTAGACTCTGAACCAGCAGCTCTCAGGAAAGCTATTAATATTCTCACTTGACCTTCACAGCACGGCATGATACACCGATCAGGCATAACATTATGACCACCTCCTTGTTTCTACGCTCATTGTCCATTTTATCAGCTCCACTTACTATATAGGTGCACTTTGTAGTTCTACAGTTACAGACTGTAGTCCATCTGTTTCTCTGCATACTTTGTTAGCCCCCTTTTACCCTGTTCTTCAGTGGTCAGGACCACCATGGACCCTCACAGAGCAGGTACTATCTGGGTGGTGGATCATTCTCAGCACTGCAGTAACACTGATGTGGTGGTGGCATGTTAGTGTGTGTTGTGCTGGTCTGAGTGGATCAGACACAGCAGTGCTGCTGGAGTTTTTAAACCCCGTGTCCACTCACTGTCCACTCTGTTAGACACTCCTACCTTGTCAGTCCACCTTGTAAAGTCAGAGATGATAGCTCATCTGCTGCTGCACAGTTTGTGTTGGTCACTCTCTAGTCCTTCATCAGTGGTCACAGGACGCTGCTCACAGGACGCTGCTCACAGGACGCTGTTGGCTGGATATTTTTGGTTGGTGGACTATTCTCAGTGCAGCAGTAACACTGAGGTGTTTAAAAACTCCAGCAGCACCACTGTGTCTGATCCACTCGTACCAGCATAACACACACTAACACACCACCACCACATGCAGTGCTGAGAATGATCCACCACCCAAACAGTGCCTGCTCTGTGAGGGTCCATGGGGGCTAAGAAAGTGTGCGAAGAAACAGATGGACTACAGTCTGTAATTGTCGAACTACAAAGTGCACCTATATAGTAGCTGATAAAATGGACAATGAGCGTAGAAACAAGGAGGTGGTCATAATGTTATGCCTGATCGGTGTATATACCACCAGCCATTAAACATTTCCAATAAAAATGTAAACATCAGCGCTAATCTAGACGTAGTGTGCAATACCTTCAAGCCAAAGGAAAAAAGAAAAGGGAAAAAGGGAAATAGAATATCAAACACATTATTCATAACAAAAGAGGAAGATTAAACATGTCTGACTTCCAACGACCTTTTGTCCTTAACATTCACACAATCACATTCACAGAGTTTCCACAGTACACTGGTGCAAATCTACTGCCCTGATGAAGTATTTCAAAACACAGCATGATCTGTACCTTGTAAACCACCAAAAGGTCATTCCTGAGAGGAAGCCAGCAGTTGATTCTGGACAGGGATTCTTGAAAGTAAATAAAAAGTTCATGCACCAGAGTTAGTCACTGAACACAACATATGAACAGTCCATACAGAACTAGCATGTTTGCTGTAAATTAGTTACAGAATGTATATACATTACTGACAAGCCTGAACATTTCTGCACAACATTTGCTAGACTCCAACAATCTTCTACCTTCTGTCCTCAGATTGTACAAGTGTCCTCATGGTCGTCATGTATATTAATTGTGTTTTATATAGCTACTCTGCAATACATTTAGGTGAGGCTCAGCTCAGAGGTAGTGGGTCAGCTCGGGTTCTATGGCCTTCATCACTCTTGAGCACCCTCTCTGGTGGAGTACCTGCATCTATGGAGATTTCCCTTCAGTAACTCTGACCTGCCACAGATGCACAAATCACCACAGCACTGGTAATCCCACCAATAAAACACTAATAATCTAGCGTCACATTGCATAATGTAGTTCTTCTGAACCACAACCAAGCAAATGGTAGCAAGAGATGATAATACTTTGCTAAACCAAGTTTTTGTTATTGCAAAACAGAGATTTATATAACTCCACAGTTCATCACAAATAGAAAGCATCGTGGGGAACGTGGCCCTGCTTCGGCAGTATTTTTGGCTTGCTTGGGAAAATTCCTAACATTGCATTTGCTTTCCTCTGAAATATGATTACAAAGTGTTTGCGATATGTTGTAAATCAAATTTACTTCACCCCATCACATAAGCACACTTACAGGATCTGTGACCACACTGGAGAAGAGAGGGGGCTTCTCGTTGAAGCAGGACAGGATGAGTTCTGCCAGCGTGAGGCCGAAATACATGTAGAATGTTGTGAAACGCAGTGTGTCCTTGACTTCTCCCTGCAAAGACAGTAATATGCTATAATACATCGCCTTCCTCTAACTTACCCCCCCCCACCCCAAACGCTTAACTTTCCTCCATTCATCTGGTTCATAAATCAGTGGCGTCTTGTTGTTTTTATTCACATTCGAGACGTCAGTGTGGTGTACATGTTACACACGAAGGTCCAGCGTTTGTGCAGCCACAAACCCGGAGGCCCTTGGTTAGATAAGCAGGCCTGGAGCAGGACTTAAAAACAACAGCACTACTATTCTTTCTCTTTCTCTCCCTCAGCAGCAGTAGCAGCAGCAGCAGCTCTGTCCTTGTCTGAACTCCACACAGACCTGAGCGCCCGACTTGGAGCGTGGGAGGGAGAGGGATGGGAAGATGACAGCCAGACATGAAAAAGGGGAAAAAACACAAAAATAAGAGAGAGAGTAGGAGATGGAGAGAGGAGATGAAGGCAAGCGAGAATGTGAAAGCTACAAAAGGTTAACAGATGTGAGAGACTGAAAAAAAGACATGATATAAAAGAGAAAGAGCAAAGTGTGAAAAGACACAGAAAGTAAACAGGGTCCAGCAAAGCAAGAGCTCAAAACGACTGACTGGAGTCTTATATAAAAAGATAAATTATGAACACATTAATCTTAGGGGTGCACGACATCTCGGTGGCTGATATATTTTTTGCTGATAAATGAGAAAATTGAATTAGCAGTCTGATATCTAATTGCAGCCAATAATTACTACCAATAATTTAGTACCCTATTTATTGATAAAACGTTCATATTACATGGAAAGGAGCAGAGATTTGAGCACAAATGATGGATCAGTGCATGAAATCAAGCGCCAGCCTACCAGCAGCTTATTTACATATAATTTGCACAAAGCACGCCCTAATTCATGTAGATGTTTCAGTAGGGATCCAATAAAATGACAGCATTCAGCAGCTCATGAGCCAATGACTGTACTTGTAGGTGGAGTGTGAGGTCAAGCGGTGAGCGCACTGGTCCCCCTATTGATGTTTACTGAACTTTCTAGTGTAAAAATTATGACTGGAAAGAAGACAATGCAAAATGAACGAAATGTCTTTTACTAAGACAGCAGAATGTAGTGACTGTGTAGTGCTATTATTTTTTTAAATATTTATTTTTTTAATATTTTTTTTAAAATAACAAGTACCCACACTGTATTACTGCAGTGTATGAGATGCTTCTACACCAGCTGGGTTTTTTTTTTTATATTTTGTGCAGTGTCAGTAGTATAAAGCAAAAGTACAGTGTAATATGTCTTTAAATGGAACATGGAAAAGTTGCAGCATTTGTTTATATCAATAAGCATGTAAAATAAGTACATCCACATCTGTATGAGATTGCTATGTACATTAATTATTTGTATTATTGTTATTTCCTATTTTTATTCTTATTATTGGTATTATAGATGATATTGTGATAGTTTTGGTTAGGGAAACACAAATCAAGGTTCTTAAACTTTTACGCTCAAATTTACACAAACTTCTACAAGTTTGATCGTGCAGATATGCCAAAGATGACATTAATGAATAACAAAACTCAATGAAATTTGCGTTATTGTTACAATGAGATTTGACCACACACGACTTTGACAAATAAGAAACAATATCAAGATACTTCAAAATTTTTCATATTACATGATACGTCACAATATGTGACATCTGATAAGAAATAGACTAAAAAGAATCAGCGGTGCCACAATTTAAAAAATTATATCAAAACTGTACAACTGCACAAATGAACTGTATCAGTACAATGATTTTTATTCAACGATTTACATATTGCACTGCATTAAATCTAATCTAACTGTACTAAGTATGCCCTACTGATATCACCACAACAAAGTACTAATTAACATTTATCATTATCAGACCAGAAATACCAGTGTTTCCCTTTAATCTTCTTAAACAAGCTATAAGCGAGCTTGAGGTACTGGCCACATGAAATTGGTACAAACCTTCGTGCTGGCATGGATGATCTTGGAGCGGAAAGGCACAATGGCACACAGCACCGACAGAGTCCAAAATATGAAAAGCACCCCAGAGGACTGCACCCCTCTCAGCCTCTCAAACTGGATAATGAAGGTGGCCAACAGCTGATATGAAGAGAGGCATAAAAAGGAGAAACAGTTTCAAAGCCATCCAAATCTTTAGTCATCTGTACATGTGGGGCTCAGTATGAACGGGGGGGGGAGTGTACAATACTGTGCAGAAGTCAGATACCACCCTTAATTTATTTAATTTTCAGTGAAATTTCCATTTAATTTCCATTTAATTTCCTTTTTCTTTGGACCTTTCTCAAGAAAAAACTTTTTCATATGATTGATGAATTAGGCCCTATGAGTCTGAAAGGATGTGTAGTTGTCAAGAAGCTGTTACTGAGCAAAGAAAACAAATTTAAAAAAAGACAATTTGCAAATGAAACACAGAAACTGTTGGTCAGAACAATATGCTGACCACCAACGTGGGCCCAGACATCACCTTTTTGTTAAATATGGGAAATAAATTTGAAAGACTGTGATCCATATGTGGGGATTTACTCTCTTTGACTCATTTCTTTTGACACATTTGTATGGCAGAATTTGTTTTCGCCTTTTGTTGTATTATGGTTCAACACTTACCATCGTCATGCCAACTATTAATGGAGTAATAAAGTATATTAAAGGTATGTCCTTCTCTTTCATCTCATGAAAGGAGGCAAAGAGGTCTGTCCAGCACACAATCCACAAAATAAAGCCAAAAACCTGCAGGTGACACAGAGAGAGAGAGAGAGAGAATCATGTAACTACTGTGACGCTGCGAAAGCAGTAAGATCTGAAAAAGAAATCTGTACGCTGACCAGCATCTCTGAAAGCCCTTACCGTTTTGACTCTGTTTAATAAAGACATCATGATGTAGCCTTTGTTGTTCCTCTTGAGGTAAAAGAGGTAGAGGGGGGAGATGAGCCACAGGTAGATGCAGGGGGTCCATGACAGCACAGACAGCTGAAAGCACTCGGTCAGGTCAGGGACATCTGCGTAGAGGGTCCGATTGGGCTCCTGTGGATAGAAGAGACGACTTGTTACAGTCTCCGCATTAGCCTACTGAGGTGGTGCCTGCAGCACACACAGACTGGCAGATATAAGAGCTATTATCACAGACTTGACCTGGTGAGACCTATAACAGGTCCAGCAGGTGCAGCTAAGGTTGCTGACCAGCAGCAGCGGGGTTGCTGGCTCTAATCCTGGTTGGACACTACAGGAGCCTGGCCTAATTCCAAAAGGCTGCCAGACACAGACTGAGCAGTACTGAGCAATATAGCTGCGTTCAAAATATCAATAGAGCAATATACCATCAATAAACCTTTGGCACTCATGGGTGTATCAAACATTTCTCAATTTATTTAGACAGGACATGTATGCACGACAGAAACCATTGATGCATTAAAAGTTAAGAATGTGACATTTTGTAACACAAGCATGTGACAGAACTATGCTCCGATGCAGAAGAACGACTAAGCTGTAATAAACAAAACAGGCTTAGCAGAGAAGCTGCTATGAGTTGATTTTGTATGCATTTTGTTAAGCATTCATATGTCAGTCATCTCCATCATAAGAAATCTCTAAAATGGTTACTTTATAAGAGAAGGACAAAAATGTTCTTAACTTTATTGTTAATGGAGCGAGAATTTATTTTGGACCATTTTTACTGGTGCATTCATCTTGAAATATTCATACAATGTCAAGGGATGCTTGTGTTCTCAAACAGTGTAAAAGGGCCCATATCATAAAAATACTTCCCTCAGTTTTTTAAAATAAAGGAATTTGATGTAGTAAACAAACATTGTTCATGTTTCAAAACATACCGTGCACTTTCCAGTCCATACGGTCCACATATGGACCAATTTGAATTTATTGTTTCTGTATCATGATGAAAACCAACACATAAGGAGTGTTTCAGCCTGCATTGTTTTTGAACCATTTCAACGCCTGTTGCACCAACATTCTTACAAAATAGGCCAATCACAACCTCTAGAATGTATAAGCCACTTCAGAACATACAAAACCAAGAATGTTTGTGTATGGCATAACCCCAACATTACAATAAGCATCAATACCCCCCTTTACTCTGATTGGACTAGAGCAGAAATGCAATATTGTTATGATGCCGACCAATATTACTGAGTATTGGAAAACTGTGTCATTTTATAACAATTGCCAATATGTAAGTAGTCAGTCTTAGCATCTGTGAGCCAAAAAGCATGCTTGTTCCAAAATCTGACCTGCTGATCAGCTGTATAAATACGGTCTGTGAGCCTGTTATTAACATCACCACTTGTTGATTAGTCTGTAATCTGTTACAGTCAGTAAATACACCACCTCTATCAGCACTTCACATTCATTTCTAGTTTAAGCCACACCCACTTTCAGTTTGTAATGTAATAGAAGGAAGAAAGAATATACTACAGCCAGCTCTACCTAGGATACACTCGGATGCCTAATTCCCCTGACAGCAGTATCAGTTTAACGCAGCAAATGAGAGATGGGCAGAAGAGACTGATTAGTATATTGGCAATAAAGTTCCAAAATTAGACCTTCTGTTTTGACAATACAAAGCTGAAATATTTACACTCTAATGAGTTATGTTGTAAGTCTTGGTTCTCATACCCTGAATAAATAATGTCTAGGTTGATAAAACAAGACACTGAATCTAATTAGAATCACTAACGTGATCTCCAAGCTGGCATCTGGCTGCGTCATGGTGATAGAGAAACATCTGAGAGAAGGGTTATTCTCTTGGCTAACAACCGCACTCAGAAGAGTTTACAATGGTTATTCCCATGAGAACTTCTCTTTTTTCTTTCCAATTCAGACTAGGGGTTAATTCCAGGCTTATAACAACATATTTCATGTACTTTCTGTAAGCTTTGGCCAAATGATTTGAACAACTGTAATCCCCAACCAACAAATGGAAATTCATATTTACACTGAAAATTTAGTTATGCTTAGTACCACAGAGCTATGACTCTGCATAAAGAGAGTCAACAGAAAAGTGTAAAACTGGGTGCAAATCCGGCTGAAGAAGGACAGATAGTGAGCAGATAAATGTGTACAAGTGGAAAACATTGTTCTATTTTATTAGAAGATAACTTCTATATTATCAAATACCATGATATTGTGATTTATCTGGAAAATACTATGGTAGAGAATTTTTAGTACTGTCCAACACCAGAAGTAACATACTGAAAATTAAGTAGTAGAAACTGGGCTTGAGTTTGACCTCCTTGCTTATTGTTCCATAGCAGAACAGCAACAGCAAATGTTTTTTTGGCACAGGTTCACGGTGTTGGATTTCACCCTTTTCCCCATTCCACCTCACTGGAAATCATTCAGGTATTTAATCAGACACAATACATGCACGAAAGGAATTTCAACACTTCATGCGCCACTTGAACACATCCACGTGGTTTGAAAGTCACTGCCATGCATTCCATTTCTCCATTTCAGCTTTATAAGGACTCTCAGCACTTGTAAAGAGGAATAACTCAAGCTGAACTTGCAAGCCACAAGTTATTATTATCCGTAGTGTTACTCTGGAACTTTGTCACGCTCTGAGAGTGTTTAGCTTCCCAACGACATCTCAGTGTCACATGAGGCTTTGAAATTGACAGAAGACATCTGTGAAATCCCTCTTTAAATGTCTGCAAGATGGCCAAATCGGCAATCACGTTACTTGCCTTGTCTTGGAGCTTTTTGTTTTGTTTTTTTTATTTGTTTGCATTAGACCAGTTCGTTTTTCACACAGTCACAAATATTCACTATTAATAATAAAATAAGTACTTTTCACCCCTTCATATGACACCAGAGCCCGTGTAGTTGTACACTGAAACTAATTTGTCAGAATTCGGCAAGTGACAACTTTCTAGCATTTCTTCACAACCTGCTGCAATGGCTGGGTTGTTAAATAATAGCTTTATGGCCAATGGCAGTGTAAATAAAAAAAGGTATCTGAAAAGAATGATGACTAAAAAAAAATTACAAAGTAGAAAGTGGAAGAAGTGGAATTGAAGAAGTTAGAGGAAGAACATGGCTGGAGTGTGAGTTTAAGAAGGATATAATGTTCTGTCAAGCGCGTCATCAGTTACCAAGACAGACAGACAGACAGACAGACAAACACACACACACACACACGCATCATCTAAACCTAAATCTTATCCTTCTGGGTCGCGGTGGGGTGCTGGAGACTATCCCAGCTGTCATTGGGCGGAAGGCAGGACACAGACAAACAGACTTGTTTATATATATATATATATATATATATATATATATATATATATATATATATACACACACACATGTACATATATCGCTAACATTGGTTTGTCAGCAAATGTATGTTAAACATATATATATACACACACACACACACACACACACACATTAAAATTTTATTCTTGCTGGTTTGACTGGTGTCGTAAAAAACAGTGGTGGATATGAAGGAATCAAAGCAAAAAATGTTTTTTGGGTACTTAAGCATGATGGTTTATTGCAAATATAATGTATATATGATGAACATGTTTCCACAATTCTGGCCATAGAGTCTTACCTTTGGCCACAAAATTCATTGGATTGGTAGCCTGAGGGATCTGTCTTTCCCTAAAAACACAACTGAATAATAACAAGCCATGCACAGCCTTTTCAAAGATTCCAAAATACTTTATTAGAAAAACATAATCTAGGACATCATTAATCTTACTGTAAAAGAGACTGCTAGAAGAATTTCATTTGCCAACTAGTCACTGCCAATTTATCAAGAAGGTACATTTCAATTTATTTTCAAACTTGTTTTTGTTTTAAATTGAGCAATCAAGCTTAATCGAGTTATTGTTACAGCCTTACTTGGTTGCATCTCCTAGAACATAAACGTTTAACGTACATTTGCTGACAAACCAATGGAAGCAGTGTTAGCATTAGCTCTAAGTGAAAGGGGCCAAAGGAAACGTGGCTTCTCTGTAGGGAACGCCCAAAGTTAGATAAACACAGCTGCCTGAGTTTCTCTCCGTCTGTCAGCGTGGCCCTGAGTGTGAACATATGCACGAAATCGAGAGGAGAACACCCACATTAACCACGAGCTGCAATCTACATCCACAGCTAGCAAGAAGCTTTCAGATTCAAACTGGTCATCCACTTTGGCTGCGTCTTCAGAGAAATCTCTCTGGTTTTCCAAGACAGGAGTTGAGCTTATAATAAAATCAGAGGAAATTAATCACATTAAGAAGCAACAATTTACTCAAACTGGTAAACATTTACTCAAAAGGCAAAATATTTGGCAGAGTTTGTACTGCCAGAGACTGCATCTGCTCACACTTTGACCGGTGAGAGCATTAAGGTAGGCCTACATGAAGCCCAAGCCAACTGCTGCCATTACTCCCCATGGATAGAGAAGAGTCTACTGGGGGGTAATGACTCAAAAGGCTTTGGCTGGTGTTTATCTACAGTGATTATCGATTTCCACGTGCTAAACCCCGTCTGTCCTAAGCTCCACTTTTTAGCAGGACCTAAGCAGGCAGCCACCTGGCTGTTACCTCTCCTCAAGGCTGGATGAAGGACAGGCCTTATCGCTCAGCATCGCCTTTACATACCAAGCATCATCTTAACTCCATCTTAATCATTGACCTACACAAACTGTGGCAAAGCAAGCTCTGCAAATCAGTAAAAGCGCCTCAACAGGTTTTACACATTCGTTTTGTTCAGAGCGAATATCTGATTACAAGCGCACAAAAGTGAGTGTATAGTAGGCTAATATTTACTCTAGACTGGGTTTCATGAGTAAATGTAAAAGCTGCTGTGAAAACTGCACTGATATGGTTTGCACTTTGTTAGTAACACAAATGTAAGGCCCTTATCAAGAAATGAAAATGGCATTAGCGTTCTCAGCTTGAACATTCTTCTAATACAGCCACATGGAAAATATGAAGCGAGTAACAGGATAAAAAAAAGAATTAAAACGATGGATTATTATGGATAATGCTGACTGGAATGCCTAATGAACTGGGAGG